TGTGGGAAGCACTGATGAAGCTTCCTTTCTTTTTCTCTCTCTGTCCCATAGGATCTTTAGTGCAAACTTTCCCCCAAGATGTCAGGGTATGGCCTTTCTGAGTTTGTGGACTGGTGCACTCTTTTTAGTTTCTGTTTTAGTTCTTGCTGGCATGGTTGAATAGCATGGCTGTGTGCGTGCCACACAGGAATGACACATCAGTTAAAAAGAGGCTTGTGCATGTATGAAAATAATGATTCACTTATGTTTTTCTGAACTTTACTAAGTATCTCATTTGGCTTTATTTGCTGCTTACAAGGGGATCAAGGTAACTCAGTGTTGAAAAAATGGCTAATAATTGTGAACGTGTTTATCTGTTTGCGTTGTGGTCAGTTCATTTAATTTGCTAATTTCTTTATAGCTTACTATATATGTCTATAACTAAGCTATAAGAAATGTATTAGCTGTCTGCTTTGTAATGAACTGTAGTTTTTGAACTAATGTATGCCTCCAACAGTGCTTCTAGATAGCTTTGTACTTAAGTTGTAGTTGTTATTCCTGTAAAATTATTGTTGTTCATCATGCAAATGTTTTGCAGTTTCTATTTTATTTATTTTGCTTTACTATGCTTAATATTGGTAATATGTGAAGCACTTCTCATTCGATAATAACTGTTTTACTCTGTTTTACACTATGCATTGGGAAGAACTTGTTAGAACATAGCTTTAATATTGTAAGTTATTTAATATTGTAAGTCATTGCAAGCAGTAAAAAGTCATACATGCTTCTTTGTATATTAGCAAGTTGTTTTTATGAGAGTATATTATCCAACTTGAATAACCATAACTAGCAATTAGTGATCAGATTGGAATTGAAACTTTTTTTAATGCACACTTGCTTCTTCACTCCTCCTTTTCATTGGAACATTTTTCAAAAAGTCATAGCCAAAACTCTTCTGGCTAAAATTGTGCTTCAACTGATATCTATTCCTTACTTGAATTCCAGAAACAATAATAGGATTTCAGTTTTTAAAAGAATTAATTAAAATGTGGTAGTCGCTGATAGTAAAAGCAAGACCATCATTTAGAGCAGGGGTCTCAAACTCACGGCCCGCGGGCCAATTGCCGGGACAGGCGAGGCACAGGGGAGGGGCCCTGCGGCCTTCAAAGCGCCTTCAGCGCCCGGGCCAGCCAAGGGGTGATCGGCCCACCACCACCGTGGTGGTGGGATACTTGATGCGGCCCAGCCTCACCCAGACTCTACTTCCAGCGGCCCCCAGGTAAGTTGAGTTTGAGACCCCTGATTTAGAGGACTGTTAATGTTTTAATATACTAAGGTGTTTATATTTCCACCAACTCTGCTAATATTTGCTATTATTAAAATTAATTTCAATACTAATTTGCTCACACAGTGGCTCATAACTGTGTTCCTTGTTATGTAAGATTGCTGTAATTCCTGTAAGCATGGCAGCCTTGAAAAGTTATGCCATTATTGCAACAAATGGCCTGCGTCATACATAATGTTATGTAATACCAAGCTATGGTTTATTGTTATGTGCATAGCTTTGGGCTTGCACATTCCTCCGTCCTCTTCTTCTCTAGCATGGCTATGGGAAGACTGCTGCTTTCAATAAGCCGCTGTTTAGCATTAAAGCCAAAGCTAAGTGTGGTTAGTAGGTTCAGTTATTAGATGGTATAAAAATGCTATGTATATGTATACATATAAAATAATATTAATCAAGTTAGAGAAACAAGCCAACTTTAACCATGGTTTGTTTCTGAAAATGGTTGAGATTAACTCTAGGTCGTCTACATTCAAACATAGCCCTAACCATAGTTATTTAGAAACAGAAGCAAAAGCTTCTGTTCTCCGAATCAGAATAAAAGTTGGAACAGGAAAACTGAAAAGCCCATGGTTTGTTTGTGAGGCACTGAACTGCTATGTTTAAAAAGCCATCATGTGAGATTTTATTTTACATGCATTTCATGTGAAATATAAGCTTAAGAACATTAGCAAAGAAAAAAGTTGTTCCTAAAAGTCTACTACATTGCCAGAGGATTTTGCATCTACATACAGAAAACTGATTCAGCAAAATAATCAACTTTTATTAAAGCACATAAGCCAAAATCTCAAAAATCCAAATGTAATATTGATTCATTGATTGATTATATTTATATTCCTCTTGAATATAATAGAATGCCCAAATGGTTCACATACAAAGAGTAAAATCACCTTTGATAATGCAACTAGAAAGCAATATCAAGTGCAAAAGAAGAGGTGCATGAGCAAGGAAAAGGGGCAGCATGAAAAAAACAGGAAAAAACTGGTGAACACATGTGATTTCTGAATACATTTGAAACACGCTACACGTTCTGTCTCCCAAAGTGCATGAGGGAGGGTCAGGTGCTGCCACCAAGGTATTGCATACAGTGTTCTGTTAACCCCAGAATAACCAGCAATGATGATTACAATGTCAGCTGGGCATATATGAGAGGAGAGAGTCTGCTAGTTATCCTGGTCTCAAGTTGTTTGTATAACAATAAAGTAACCTTGAGTGGAGCTTCATAGCTACTAGGCAACCACTGTGGATCTTTTAATATGGATCTTATGAGAGTATAGCTGGCTGTCCCAGTGATCACCCTCGCTACTGCATTCTGCGATAGCTGCAACTTCTGAACCGGGCAGAGGGACAGCCCAATAGAGCATCCTATGGCAGAATAACGGTGAGGTTACCAGTGCATGAATCACCATGACTAGGTTATTTCTATCCATGAACTGGTATAGTTAGCATATGAATCAAAGTCATAATAGGTGACACAGGCCACAGAAGTCTACTGAGATCCCAGTGCCAGCGATGCTCGTTCAGAGGAAGAGCATTCCTATCCAGAGCAGACAAGCACCCTAATTCCTAGAGCTGGAAACTGCCAACTCATAGGGTCTCTGTCTCCCCGGGATTTGACTTCCATTTACGAGCCATGGCTACATCCACTCACCAGGTCAGAACATGCATGGCCTTCTTGATCCTGATGCACAGAGAAATAGAGGCATGTGTCATTAACTTGCCAGCGGCGCCTTGCCCCCAAAACTTCTGATGAATGCTCCCAATGGTTTCATGTAGATTCTGTGTAGCATTGAGTAATATAAACTACCCTGGCGTGCCAGACCATTTTCACTGTCGAAACAGAATGCTGGATTTAGTGGGCCTTTAGTCTCACTTCAGTGCTCAAATTACAGAGGGTGCATGGCCACCTTCCTTTTTGTGGCAGCCCCATTATTATTATTATTATTATTATTATTATTATTAAACATTTCTATGCCGCCCCTTGCCGAAACCTCGGGGCAGCTTACAACATGATAAAATACATTGAAATACAATAGTACATAATAAATTACCATTAAATACAAAAATACAAAAAAATACATTGATTTACAAATATAAAATTAAAATTATCAGTATAAAATAAAAATATAGGAGGAGAAAGAGAAGGAAGAAGAAGTTGCCCTGGCCAGATCATATGTTTTAACAATTGAAATGATGTTTAAATAAAAAGGTCTTTACCTGGCGCCGAAAAGCCAGTAACGACGGTGCCAGGCGGACCTCTTTGGGGAGTGAATTCCATAGGTTGGGCGCCACCGCAGAGAAAGCCCTCCTCCGGGTACTTACTCTCCTAATTTCTTTCATGGAGGGTTCCCGGAGAAGGGACTCTCCCGCAGATCTCAAAGGGCGGTCGGGCATATACGGACGTAAGCGTTCGTTCAGGTAGCCAGGACCCAAGCCGTTTAGGGCTTTATAGGTCATAATCAACACCTTGAATTGGGCCCGGGCTTCAATGGGAAGCCAGTGAAGCTGACGGAGGACTGGAGTCATGTGAGCATAACGCCCCGTCCCCGTCAGCAACCTGGCAGCTCTATTTTGCACCAATTGAAGTGTTCGGACTGTCTTCAGGGGAAGCCCCACGTAAAACGCGTTACAGAAGTCTAGGCGGGAAGTCACCAGCGCGTGTGTCACCGTCGCCAGGCAGTCGTACTCCAGGTAGGGGCGCAGCTGATTAATCAGCCGAAGCTGAAGGAAGGCGCTCCTCGCCACCGCTGTCACCTGAGCTTCCAAAGAAAGCTCCGGGTCGAGGAGTACTCCTAAGCTGCGGACCTTGTCCCTAAGAGGGAGTGTTGCACCATTCAGGACCAGGTCAAATCCACCCTCTCCGAAACCCGATCCACCAACCAACAGGACCTCCGTCTTGTCTGGGTTGAGTTGCAGTTTTTTGGAAGGCTACAGGGGCAGGTCCAGTTATGGGGTTCATGGCTTTCAGCAATTGCTCCTAACCTTTTCCCTCACTGGTTGAACGCTGTACACCAGTCTAGCTATTTTTGTTGTGTTCTTAAAAGCCAATAACTATTTCTGGGAGATCAATAAATCAGGAATCTAATGTGTCTCATCAGGCAAAGAAAGAGCTGTAAGTCTCTTATTAGCCTGAGTATCCTAGTTGATTTTATCTGATCCTTATTGCTACCATATTTCAATCCACAGAGGTTTTGTTAGATCCAACTGCTTTGAGAAATGCAGCCCTCCCATTTTACACAACAAGGTTGCTAATATTTAGATAAACCTGCAATAAAGACTATGTTGCTGAGTGGGCATTGTATTTGTCTTTTCAGTTTTGTTATGTGACTGTAATTATGGTGGTTTATCTTTAAAGCATTAATTGCTGCTATGTTAGAGACAAGGAATTATGAGTCAGTATAGCTGAAACAAAGTGAAGAACGAAAACATGCATAGTTAGCCCTAAAAAATGTCAAGTAAATAACATAGAGAGCTGAGGCCTCCCTGAGGGTTCATGCTGCTTCCCAGGGTTCATGCATCCTCCCCACTCCTTCCCTTGGTGCTCCCATGAGTATGTTTATTGTATGTTTATTACAGATTCAAGTATCATCCAAGTATCGTCCAGGCTCAGTTGGCATATTGGTTAGTATTTTCCCCCTTCACTTGTGATGATCTGTATGCTTCAATGTGCTTCTTTCAGGCCACCAGTTAGCAGAGCTGCTCCTCAACCTGAGAAATTGCAAAAGAATAACGTCAACAAAAAAAGGAAGCTGGTTGAGGTCAGGTTTCATACATTACTGTTTTACCATCCATTCCAATTTTGTTGAATGCATTTTGTTTTATTTTGGGAGGTTGTCTGTAATTACTACTGGTGGATGATTCTGTACATTTTAATTCATCTCGGTTTCTCATTTTTCCTGTCTTGAGTTTTTAAATTGTTGCTTATTATTATATGCACATCCCACAATTTCCCTCCGGCACAGAATTCAAGTCAGCTTACAAAATCCTCCTTCCCTTCATCATTTTATTTTTTCTTAAGATATTAGACTGACATTGTGACAAACATTACCACTATGTTTTGCAAAACAATTTTTAAAAGTAATGCATTGAAAAAGGTACAACCTGTTGCAGAGCCAGTGTAGTGTAGTGGTTAAGAGCATGGGACTGGGACTCAGACGATCTGGGTTCTAGTCCCCGCTCAGCCATGGAGCCAACTGGGGGACTTTGGGCCAGTCACAGACTCTCAGCCCAACCTACCTCACAGGGTTGTTGTTGTGGGGATAAGATGGAGGAGGAGATGTAAGCTGCCTTGAGCCCTTTGTAGGAAAAAGGCAGGATATAAATCGATAAATAAATAAATAAATAAATAAAATCATGTTAACATTATATAATTTGAATAAGCTTTTGTATCTGTTTCTGCATCAAAATCTTTTAGGTACCTTTTCACTCTAACATTTACATTTTTGTATTGATTGTTTGCTGGTTAAAGGGGGAAATTATTTGGCTCCTCTATGCAACTGTATATACTAAAAGTTGTGTATAACACAATTTCATCTTGTTAACCTTTTCCTTCCAGGAGCTGGCTTTAGATCATGTTTTTGGATACCGTGGATTTGATTGTCGCAACAACCTTCATTACCTCAATGATGGTGCTGATATTATTTTCCATACTGCTGCAGCATGCATAGTTCAAAATCTTTCTACAGGTAAATCCAAAGAGAAATTAAAGTGTAACAACCTTTTCCCCCACTGTCCAATATCTTGAATTCTTTTTTTTTAAAGATTTTTATTAAGATTTTTAAACTACTACTAAAAACATCAATCATCAAATACATTGGACATATTGGGTCAGCCCCCTACTACATATTTTTTAACATTCAATAGTCATAATCAAATCCATTTATAACAACTTAAAGACATCTTTAAATCTAAGCCAAGTCCCGTTTCTCCAGCCAATAATGAAAAAGTTCCCAAGTTTGATAGAAGTCAGTATCTTCTTTCTCCTTCAGTGATAAAGTTAATCTATCCATTTCTGCACAGTCCAGAATCTTCCTTATTATCAGTTCATTGGTGGGTAATTCCTCACTTTCCAATGTTGAGCAAATGCAATCCTTGCCGCAGTAATTACGTGTAACGTCAAATACATTTCTTGTTTGTTAATATCTTCCAGTATAATGCCTAATAGGAAAACTTCAGGTTTAAAAGCTTAAGGTTTTTGTAGCATTTCCTCAAGCCATTTATGTATTTTAATCCAGTACTTTTTCACATTGTCACAAGTCCACCACATATGATATCTTGAATTCTGCTGTATAAAACAGTGTATGGTCTATTGCACACATGGAACACCTGCAAAGGGATGGGGTAGGTAGCTTGCGAGTCCTCCTTGATCCAGAGCTTTCCCTGGAATTTGAAGTGGCTTCTGTGGCAAGGAGTGCTTTCCACCAGCTGACACTGATCCATCAGCTGTGTTCTTACCTGGATAGACAGGGCCTGGCATCAGTAACTGTGCACTAGTTACCTCATGTTTGGACTATTGCAACACACTTTATGTGGGGCAACTTTAAAGACAATCCAGATATGCCAGTTGGTGTAGGATAGAGAAGCCAGGCTATTGACAGAGACCAGCTGAGTGACTTTATGGCCCTGGCCTTACACCATCTTCACTGGCTACCCAATGAAGTCTAGGTCTGATTTAAGGTGTGACAATGACATATAAAGCCCTAAACAGTTTAGGGCCTGGTTATCTAAAGGAATGCCTCCTTCCATATACATTTAAGATCTTCCATTAACATCCTTCTCAGAGAACCTACCTGGAAGGAAGTGAGGAGGGCTGTCACAAAGAGAACGGTCTTCTCAGTGGTAGCACCTTGATTGTGGAATATGCTTCCTAGAAAAGTTCATCTGCCATCAACTCTATTCTTTCTGGCACCAGAACAAGACCTTTTATTTAAGCAATATTTTCATTGTTAGTTTTAATATATATCTGATTTAATTCTATTTTAATCAAGTACTGTAAATTGTTTTGATGTTTTTATTATTGTAAACCATCTAGAGATTTTCTTTGGTAATACAGGCAGAATACAAAAATTTTAAATAAATTAACAAATCAGTCCACTTTTTTAAGTATCCAAATTGGTGGCCATCACTACATTTCATGGAAGTGAATTCAATTGTTTAATTATGTGCTGCATGAAGAAGTACTTCCTTTTTTTATGAGTCCTGAATCTCCCTCCGATCAACTTCATGGGATGACCTCCTTCTAGTATTATGGCAGAGGGAGAAAATTACTTCCTTGTGTACTTTCTCTACATCTCTCCCTTCTTTGAGCATTTTTCATTGGACAGGCCTCTGTGACTTGCTCTCTCCAATGGGAGCAGGGGCCAAGAGGTCATCGGATCCAGGAGATCCTTCCCTCCCCAACCACTGACCCAGCCTGAACATATTAATTTCCTTCCATCTTGAGAGAAAGAACTGCTATGGAACTTTGCACAGTGGCTGGGAAGGAGTAAAGGTAGGAAGACCCACGGCTACGTCTCCTTCATGTTCAGAGCTGAGATGCTGTGTAGAGCCCACAGGATGCTCTCAAAACATGGTTTATAGTAAATTTCAGATCCTCCGTACAAGTGGTAGTGATTTTTTCCATATTCAGGTAAGTTGATTTCCTGAAATGTACTTACTTGAAAATGTATTGCTATCTCTTTTGATATTATCCTAAAATAATTCTTTGTTTGGAATTGCATAGGAAGTCAGACGTTCTACCTGGAACATACAGATGACATCCTCTGCCTAACTGTAAACCAGCACCCAAAGTATAAAAACATTGTGGCAACCAGCCAGATTGGTAGGTTCATAGTCACATCAAAATAAAAGCCTGTACTTGTTCTCAGTTTACATGTCAGAATACAAAACTGGACCGTGTTACTCTTGCCAAATTATCATTTCATCCACTCCATTCTAGCCTGCTATAAGTAGTCCATGTAGCACAGCAGGGTCTAGCTGATCTCTGTCTCACAGATGATAACTTGGGTTAGGCCTGTTACTTAGCACTGCTACTTAATTTGTACTTTTTATCATTACTATGCAATGATGGGTATTATTTCTGAAAATATTTTCATGCCAAGTGTGTACTGTGTCCTTCAGCTACCAACCTGATATTACCCAAGTGAAGATAACAGCAAAACAGGTTCTTAGCTCCTAGTAGAAGCTGATTGATATGCTTTCATTATTACTGTAGTTTCCACAATTTGCTGTCTTCTCACTAAACTGCCGCATTGTACTCCTTTGTATTCAGTCTCAGTAGTTTGACTAGAATACCTTAGAGATATTTGGTCTTTAGCTCAATCCTTTCTTTGAAAGAATATTTATTTAAGCTTGAGACTCTTAAAAACACTTGTGAAAACACACTTTAAGGTAGCATTTAGAATTAGGTTTCAATTAAGTGGGAATCAAAGTTGCCGAGGGTAGAGGCAGTGGGAGGAGAGAACCCATATTGTTAAGAATGGCTCCAACTCTGTTGAGCACAATGAAGAGGCAACCAATGTCACTGTTACTGGAATTCTTATTCCCAGAATATAGATCACAACATCAGGGCAATATTTATTTTTATAGGTGTCAAAGAAGTTTTATACTGGATATATAATTCAACAATATTCCTGCCTTTCTTTTGTTTTGTTGTTTATTATTTACTCCATACCCATGTTAATTTTTCTTTTTTTTAATTTGGTGCTTCCCTCTGGTGCTGATGTTGAGCACTTCAGCATTAGAAACACTGACTTATTTCAGCTATTGTTTTCCCTTGGTGCTTTCTCATTTGCCATTGCTCTCATCATGCAGGTGACATGACAGAATTTCCAGGTAAGGCTTCTTTCTCCCATAGTCAGTCATAGTCAGCAAAGTCATATTACAACCTCTCCATGTTCCTTTGTTGTATCTATGTCAATTGCGGATACAAGTTAAACATCAGCAAACTGATTTTTGTATGTCCTTGTGCATTTATCCATAAACATTTCATCTTTATTTTAGAATTTATTTCATGTCATAAAGTCCAATATTTTTTCCCAACCCTCCATATTTGTTCCATGAACTGTTACTGCAGTTCTGTGTAATTCTTTATCAGGGTGGGATGGAGATGTTCTGTATTTATCTGTTCAGCCTTATTCTAGATAAGATGCAGCTGTCTCTGAAGAGTCACAAATCTAATGCCTTCATAATCCCTCTCTCTGTGAAAACAACATCCAGGTACAACACCTTCTATCCACATATGGGATGCTATGACTAAGCAAACTTTGTCTATGCTGCGCTGCTTCCATTCCAAAGGGGTGAACTATGTCAACTTCAGTGCTACTGGCAAGCTTCTGGTGTCCGTAGGAGTTGATCCCGAACACACGATCACAGTGTGGAGGTGGCAGGAAGGTGAATTTGCAATTCTCATTCGTACCACTTGGAAGACCGCGTACTAAATATGAACTGTCATGGTAGAGCAGTCCCCCTCCACCACCTTTGTTTGCTTGTTTTAAAAAAAGTATGTGTTGATCTAGGTTTGTTCTGCTCCACTACAGCCTTTGGTCAAATAGGATTTGAAGTGTAGCACTTTTCACAAACATTCTTACCCCTTTATTTATTTGTTTATTTATTCTTGTATTAGTAAATGATGTTCAGTATCAACAGTGGTTTACACTGTCTTGTTGGCTTACAGTAGCAACACAGGAAAGCAACTGGAGTTATTTAGCATTAAAAACCTAAGCTCCTGAAAATAAGATCAATATACCAACAAGTCTCTCAAGAGCACAAAGAAATATTTTAGTAAAAATTTAAATGCCTCAAATAAAATCATTTATGAAAGAGGTTTGCAAAGGTTGAAAGGCCTCAGAAAATATAAAAGGCTTCTCTACAGAAGGTATTTACTGTGTGCTTGCGATCCCTCACTCATGGTGTTTACAGAGCCTTTACATGAAATTATCTGCCAGGGCCCTCCCCATGTTTTCCAGCCACATACCTGACTTTCCTCACTCTAAAAAAGCCAGGAATTTAATTTCAAATGGGAACAAATGTCTCCTGAATGGTCACAAATTTACTATACTACAGCTGTACCACAACATCAACTTGTGATTGTTTGATAGAATACAAAGAAAGGCAGAGGAATACAAACCCCAGGGAAAAGACACGCTTTCCCTTCTGCAGTGAGAATGGGGAAAAAAGCCTTGGTAAAGCAAGGGGTTAAATCCTTGTGTGGAGAAGGCCTTTTTGTGCCAAAGAGCTCTTGAGGTAGGCCCTGAGTAAGCTTTGAGGGAGCATCCACAGCGCCACCACTGAGGGCCGTTCTCCCAGTAGCCACCCACCACACCACACTTGGCAGGAGCACCCAAAGAACCGTCTCCAAAAATGATCTTCTGTACATGTGAGATAGCCAGTGAGGTAGGTATGTGTACATGGGACCAACTTGGGTAAAAGATGAAATGATCCTTTTTCATTTCCACAGGTGCTAAAATTGCATGCAGAGGAGGCCACCTAGAGAGGATCTTTGTGGTAGAGTTTCGCCCAGATTCGGATACCCAATTCGTATCTGTTGGAGTAAAACACATGAAATTCTGGACTCTGGCTGGGAGCGCTTTGCTTTATAAAAAGGGAGTCATTGGTTCATTGGAAGATGCCAAAATGCAAACCATGCTTTCTGTGGCCTTTGGAGCTGTGAGTTCTCTGGGGAGTTTTGTACAGGGTTTCCAGAGGGCAAAACAGTATGTGTTGAGTCCAGACTTAGAGTAGATCCATTGAAATCAGTGTGATTTAAGTTCCATTGATCAGTGAAGCTATTCTAGCTATGACTAAATCTGTTTCCAGCCCAATATTTTTTGAATGAATGAAGCTGCCATCCAAAAAATACCTACTAGGTACTTCAAGAGAAAAATACTGATTTCCAAGTAAACATGTACGATGAAATGACATAGTTTTAATGAATGGCTCTAGCCTCCAGTAATAAGCATAATAAGCATCCAATGGATCTCCTACCCTATAGATAAGGCTTTATAAGTAGGCAGTTCAGGATCTGGGCCTACTCTAAATTCAGTGTGAGTCCAGCTGAGGAAAAAACTTGTATGTTATGTGAAATGCCAAGATGCGGCCATCCCCTAGCATCATACCCATGCTGAGTTCTCCTAGAGAATATTTCACCATGTTCCATGTTACTGTGCTCCTGCCTGTAGCTGCCAATACTTAGAGCACAGAGTACTTTGCATTCTATGAATAGTTTGGCTCCAAAGCTGCCCTTTTGCATGTAGAAAGTGTCTCCTGCTGATGGGAGAACTCTTTTACTCCTTACACTGAAATGTTGTGTTAGAAAAACAAAACTAAGTCCAAAGATGTTCTTCCAGTTGGGTAAAGTCTTGCACAAGGATGAACACTGCCATATAACCCACTATTATAATGCTGCATAAACTTTTATACAGGTGTTTATCAACCAGTGCTATTGGCTAATTTCTTTCCATTCACAGTCCTTAAAATCCAGCCTGTGATTTATTATTCACCCTTGCCACAACTGCGGATGGTCCTGCTGTTTTTGCTGTAGTGTGGATAGCCCCGCTCCACAAAGAAGACCTTGTCAAATGCTAAGCAGACTAAGTAGAACTGTAAGGCCCAACATGGAGCAGCAAGAAGCATGACTGGGAGGAGGAGAAAAATGTGTTTGCTAATCTTTTATACAGATCAAGAGCATGAGAAAAAGATTAAGGGAGATACAAGAGTTGATTAGAGTAAGAACCAGAGGTGGGAAGACCTTAAATATGCAGTCTTTGCCCATGCACCACATGCAAACTTCAGGTGTTGTTTTTAATAGCCTCAAATTTGCATAAAAAAGAAAATAAGGAAATGAAGAAAATGCCACCAGAAAAAAAAACAACCCTCAAATGCCACACTTGAGGAAACATTCCACACTTTAATGTTCCATCTCTTTTTTAAATGTAGTATGTAAATGTACCTTGTTATGTGTAAGGCTGTACTTAACACTGTGGGAAGCCGTCACTGGTAGAGTGTACCAGTGTTAGTATGGAACCCAGCAATTTATGAGGGGCAGCTTGGTGGCAAAATACACTGGTCCAGAGAAGCTGACCACCTCTGTTCTCCAAGAGTGGCCTTGTAAAATGTGGCCAATTATATCAACAGGTAATAATGCCCTGTAATAAGTGGGATTTACCAGTCAAATCATTGCTATTTCTTTCAGAATAATCTTACTTTCACTGGTGCCATCAATGGAGACGTTTATGTCTGGAAGGATCACTTTCTAATTAGACTGGTGGCAAAAGCTCACACTGGTCCAGTCTTTACAATGTACACAACTCTTCGTGACGGACTCATTGTCACTGGAGGGAAGGAGAGACCGTAAGATACTGTGACTTGTTTTTGTCTTCACTTGTCTGCGAAACCATCCTACTTTGGTGACAAAGCTAAATCTCTGTAAGCTGCATGAGGAGTTACGACAGGTTGGATGGCAGGGAAGGGGAACCAGATGTGCATTTTGCACAGCCACAAACAGTCCATGAATGACACTATAGTATTTTGTTCCTTTGGACAAGAGAGAGAGAAACACACCAGTGTGTTTGTAATCCTAAATTCTAATTCAGATTCAATTCTTCAAGGACTATTTCTTATGCAGCCAAAATAGCATAATGGTAAGATAGCAACAGACTTGGGAGAACCCTGAGGTTTGCAGAAGCATATCACTTTTTTAGAAGAGAAGTAACCCAGTTAGAACTGAACATGTTCCATGATGAGCACAAAACGTTGACTGCCTCTTGAGTGGGAAAATCTGGAAAATCAGGTGCAACATTTCTATTATAGAACATCTGGCTTTGTCCATCTTCTGAAAATATGTAGTATATAAGCAAGTGCCTTCTTATTTGCAACTTTTGAGATATGCAGATGTCTTGTGGGCATCACAGCAAAGATGTGGCCAGCCTGTAGTGGGATCCTGTGGGGTTCGCAGAGTGCAATTCTGGGTCTCAAATTACATCTTGCTTGTTCTTTCTTTCTAGCACAAAAGAAGGTGGTGCTGTGAAACTGTGGGATCAGGAGATGAAGCGCTGCCGAGCATTTCAGCTTGAGACAGGGCAGATTGTGGAGTGTGTGCGTTCAGTGTGCCGGGGGAAAGTACGTGAGATGCAGATTGCATTGCGGTTCACTGTCCTTGACAGTCTAATGAGGTGTCCATCATGGAAAGGGAATCCCATTGGAGCTACTCAGTTATCATGGATGGGACCAGACAGATGTTTCAGGCAGATATTGTGAATGCCAGTCATGTCCTTGGCATGTCTCTAGAATAATTTGGCAGTGGGAAGGGGTCATCCATGCAGTCTCTCACAGATTTGCCACATGATTATTTCAGGACCCTGCAGAAGAAGGTAGGACATGTTCCAACGGAGCCAAGCTCAGGGAACCAAGATTCAGGGTGGATGTCAGGAAGTACTTCCTGACAGTCAGGACCCCAAGGGTATGGAATGGGCTTCCACAGGCGGTGGTTGAGGCCCCATCGGTGAGAGTGTTCAAGGACAGGCTGGACATGCACATGGTGGGCATGTTGTGAGTGGAGCCAGCTGGAGCCAGGGGTCAGACTAGATGGCCTCTGACTCGCTCAGTTTCTATGTTTCTAATTTGATGTGATACTCGTGCCGCAAGTGTGGGAACTGGATGATTCAGAAAGGAAAACATACAACCATTCACCATGGCCGTGGCCACTTGTAAACTCACCAGAAGGCCAGTGCAGCTTCACTGTGAGTGAACATCTGCGATATACAGCCATAGCATGAGACAAGTACTACTCCTGTGCTCTCTGCGTGGGAGGGGTGGTCACGTGCTTGTCACATCATGGTTCATGGGCACATGTATCCTGTCAAAGCTGCTCACAGAGAACCGCTCATTACAGTGAGGTTCTGTTCTTCATTTATTTATTTATTTATTTATTAAAACATTTTTATGCCGCCCCATTCGCCAAAGCCTCCTTCATTGCTCCTTTTATTGCCACTCACGTGGAAACAACAGCCCATATGACTGTATCCCACATCAGCACCCTCCCTTTTCAGGCAAATACAGTGTGCCTGCTGGCCATTGAAATCAATGACTTGTAAATGCATTATTAAGTACTAAATGGAATATTAAATGGAAACTTAGTTGTGCCTTACTCTGGATTGTGTCCATTGCTCTAGATAGAAGAGAAAGCAGTGCAACATTTACAAAGCCATCTTCTTTTATCAGGAATGGGCAGCATGCAGCTCAAGGCCTTTACTGCATCCCCTTGAGGTGACATGGACACCCCACACGCTCACACTGCTGCCCAGTCCTCACCAGAGGATACTCGCATCCTACAGACCCCTTGCCACCACTTCTAGTGGCAAGGAAAGAGCAGGTTGTTTCAGAAGCGAATGTAGGTGTGGCTTCTACCCCAGATGGTATGACAGGTGTCTCCTGGGGCATTTACACTCCTTCCTTATTACCCTACATTAATCCAGACATGTTATGGCCTGGGGTGTGGTTACATCACAAACTCAGACTAGTTTTCATAGCTATTCTTTTGTCTGGGGAACCACTCAGAACCATAGTTTTCAGAACCATAGTTCTGAGAGAAAGATTCAGCATTCTCTTCAGGAGAAACCTCAGAATAAAACCAATATAATCATATTGTATAAATTTGCTTATTGGTATGTGGTAGCAACATGGTGTTTTTATTTCATTTTACATTTTGAAATAGATTTTTGATATTTGTAAAAGGGAGTATTTGTTTTGTTAACTGAAAATTCAAATCAACAAACAAATTTGTACATTTCTAATTCTAAACAGTATCAACAAATCCAAGATTACAGGATAAATATAGAATAGTGCTACACTGATCTTCTGTGCTTTTTTCCTTGGGTCCATATGATTTTGACATATCAACAGGGAAAAATATTAGTGGGGACCAAAGATGGGGAAATCCTCGAAGTTGGAGAAAAAAATGGTGCTTCCAACCTGCTGATCGACAGCCACATGGAAGGAGAGATTTGGGGCTTGGCTACTCATCCTTCCAAAGACATCTTTATCTCAGCTAGTAATGATGGAACTGCAAGAATCTGGGACCTTTGTGACAAAGTAAGAGATGTTTACAGAAACATGCATGCCTTCAGTATGCTAGAATTACTGGGTGCTGCTAGCAGAATTTATTTCAGCACTTTTACATGAATGTAAGTGTGCACAGGATAGCCACCACGATTTCCTAACCTAACCTTAGTTGTTTTCTGCAACTGCTATGACAATGACCTATTTCAACTAATATAAGTCACTGTAACAATGTGTCATTATTTCTGTTGTGCAGAAACTTCTGAATAAAGTGAATCTGGGTCATGCTGCCAGGTGTGCTGCATACAGTCCAGATGGTGAGATGGTTGCCATTGGCATGAAGAATGGAGAATTCATCATTTTGCTTGTGAACAGCCTTAAAGTTTGGGGCAAAAAAAGAGACAGGAAATCTGCTATCCAGGACATCAGGTACCTTGACCGGGACAGAAGAATAGAAGGCAGTGTTGAGAGTGTGTTCAGTGTGCCGAGGAAAAGAATTTCAGTCTTCTCCTGCACTACCTGATATCTTGCCATTTGAGTCACCTTTGGAGATTCCAGCTTAATAGGTGAACCACTTAAAAACACTGTACCTGAGATGTCAGTTCAGACTAAAAATGTTCCAGCACCAACATATCATAATGCCAATAAAACAGTAGCCGCATGGCCATTCCCACTTGCCAATAGCAGATGGCAACAGGTACAGTTGACAGGAAGTCGACCTGGCTCAGCTCTGTGCAGACCAGGAGGGGAAGCACATAAAGCAATGCTATTTTGGAGTCCCAAGGACACCAACAAGAAAGCCCCGGTGTTTGCCACCTGTGTCCTGACTCAGAGTCAGGGCCCTGAAAGATTACATCAGCAAGAGCCTTTGCAGTCAAAACCCCTCCCGAGGAAAGTTTAATTAGAAAAAATCTTCACACGACTCAGCAACCTTGCCTTGAGAGTGGAAAGTTGCACTGCTACACTGGATGTGATGGGGGAAAGTGCAACTGTCAGATGATAATTAAAAGCCCTATCTCGTCATTCTTTTGAACAATCTGAAAGCCAGAAGTATCCTGAAAGAGCAGAGTTACAAAGCACTTTGGTTCAGGTTAAATACATTCAAGTTGTGTGTCACAGATATTTTAAGATGTTCCCCCTGACCTTGCAGAAATGAAAATCCTGCATTGATTGGAACACACTTCTAGTATTAAAGTGACTTTCTAAACCTCATTAGAGCCATTTATAAATGATCCATACAGGAATGAAAAGCATTGTTATTATTATAAAAACCTGATAGCATCAAGAAGTCTACATGAAACGTCCTGCACTGGGTGTATCATCCATGGTTGGGGAAGCTTGGCCGCCAAGCAGCAACTTAACAAGCCACTGTTCTCCTTCATGCTTAATCCCTAGAATCAGCCCTGACAACCGATTTTTGGCAGTGGGTTCACAGGAACATACTGTTGATTTTTATGACCTCACCCAAGGCACGACTTTGAACCGGATTGGCTACTGTAAGGACATTCCGAGCTTTGTCATTCAGATGGATTTTTCAGCAGACAGCAAATACATTCAGGTGGGTTTTTCATGGTTTCTTCCTCCTTTCTTTCTTTTTTTAAATGTCTTTTACAGACATCCTGATATGGAAGACCCCAAATAAGATCCCAGGTAAAATCCAAAGGTCACTGATCATTTTGGACACACACACAGATGACAGAGGAGAGAGAAAGAACACGTAATAAACATAGCTAATCTTAACTTTCATAGATAGAAATTCTTCTGTTACAATGTTTGGGAAACAGATACTTCCACAATAGGGAGAAAAGCATCATGGACAAGAAGGGCGATGTTGGATGGAGCCCAAATTTTTAGATACTTTCAGAGAGATTTTTAGATTTATTTAAAATGGCCCTTTGCAATTAGGTTTATTGTATTGCTTTTACTGTTGTAATTGTTATAAGGATCTAATTATGAACATCTATTTTTAATACTGCTCTTTTGTAAACTGTTCTGGGAACCATGTGTGGCTGTTGAACGGTATATAAAAGCAATAATTTGTCACTGAAAGAGACCTTGCATTTGCTAACATGGAAAAAGTGTTCAGTATATAAATTGAGGCTGTTAATTCAATAGGATTACATTTTATGGCATCGATGCAAAAAGAGCCACAAAACCTATGAAATTGCTAAGATGGTTTTGGGGGATGGCAGCCAAATACTTCAAGGCCATCCATGTAATGATCATGCAGTTTTTCCTTCCTCAGGTTTCAACTGGTGCCTATAAACGGCAAGTCCATGAGGTGCCACTAGGAAAGCAAGTGACAGACATGGCACTCATAGGAAAGATCACCTGGGCCACTTGGACAAGGTGAGGCAGCAAAAATACATGACTAAAAAGAGCACTGGACTGCTTCATGATATTGATGCAAGCGAGGCAGGGCCCAGGGCCACAATCATGGACCACGGATGAGGGATGCATCCATGCACAGTGGAAGCACTGTGATTACAAGCCCCCCTCTCCCCCCTGCTCACATCAGATCATCACATCAAGTTGCTGCAGATGTTCTTGGGATTCATCCTGTATAGTCCTTGCACATCTTGTTAGAGACATTTCAGTATGCTGTTGCTACATGCCATCAAGTTCTCTCCAATTTAATGGTGAGCCTGTGAATTAATGTGCTCCAAAGTGTCTGGTTCATGACAGCCCTGCTCAGCTCTTGCAAACGCAAGGCTGTGGCTTCCTTTATGGAACTGATCCATCTCAACGTAGTTCTTCCTTTTTCCAGTTCTGCCTTCAACTTTCCCTAGCATTATTCTCCTCTGCAGTGAGTCTTGCCTTCTCGTGATGTGTCCAAAATACAGAAGCCTCGATTTCAACATTTTTGCTTCCAAGGAAAGTTCACCCAGGGTGCAGGACACAGAACACTTGACTCAAGTTGCAGGAAACCAACTTCAAGCTGGATATCGGGTCAAATTTCCTGACTGCTAGAGCAGTACAACAATGGAACCAGCTACCTAGGAAGCTTGTGGGCTCTCCCACATTAGAGGCATTCAGAATGCAACTGGGCAGTCATCTGATGACAGGGATGGTGAAACTTAGGGTCCTGCACTAGTGAGGGATTGGTCCCAATGGCCTTCTTGGCTCCTTCCAACTCTATTACTCTGTAATTCTATGCTCTAAGACTCACTTGTTCATATTCACAAAACTCTCCTCCAGCACCATGTTTTGAACATATTGGAATGGAGGTGGGAGTGGGGGCTTCTCAGTTTTCTTCACTGTCCAGCTTTCATAGTGATTGGGAATACAAGAGCCTGTTTGATCTTGGCCTTGGTCTCCAGTGAAGAGACCTTACACTCAAGACCCCTTTCTAGTACCTTCACTGCTGCTCTCGCGAGTCTCAGACTTCTACTTTCTTGGCTGCAATCTCCCTTTGAATGGTTGATTGAGCCAAGGTATGCACAATCTTTTCCAATTTCGATTTCTTTGCTGTTGATATCAAAGTTACGTATGGTCATGATTTTTGGTTTCTTAATGATCAGCTGCAATCCTGGTCTTACACTGTTTGTCACTGGGAGTCCATGTATACTGTCATCCAATCAGTTGCCTGAAGTATGTATTTACAAGACTCCCAGGCCAAATTCTCCCACACCATGCAATGCTGCTTTGTTTCCTGCTTTTGCGTTTCATTCATCTATGATGATCAGCATGACTTGTTTTGGTGTCAATTTCTTCTTGGATGCCTCCTCCTTGTGACAGTCTTTGTGGTACTTAGAGAGATCATGTCCCCCCTCAGCCTTCTCTTCTCAAGGCTGAACATGCCCGGTTTTCTCAGTCTCTCCTCATAGGGAAGTTTTTCCAAACCCTGGGTCATTTTTGTTGCCCTCCTTTCTAATTTTTCTACATCTTTTTTTTGGTGCCCAGAACTGGACACAGTGTTCCAGATGAGGTCTGACTAGTGAGGAGTGTAGAGGAGCTATTACTTCTTGATATGTAGAAGCAGTACTTCTATTAATGCATCCCAAAGTAGCATTTGCCATTTTTGCGGCAGCATCATATTGTTGGCTCATATTTAGTCTGTTGCCCGCAATTACTCTGAGGTCTTTTTCTTTTTCAGTTCTGTTGAGTTACTTATTCCCCATTGTTTATTGATGCATTTGGTTTCTTTTTACTAGGTGGAGGACTTGGCATTTGTCCTTATTGAATCTCATTCTATTGCTTTCAGCCTAGCGTTCAAGTTTATCAAGATAACCCTGGATCTTCATTCTGTCTTTTCGGGTGTTTGCTATCGCACCCAGATTTATATCATTTGCAAAATTGATTATCCTTCCTTGTACTTCCTCATCTAAATCATTAGTAATGATGTTGAGTCCCTTCCTACCTGGAAATCTCATCATCTAGCACCATCTTTAGCTTCATTTTGGTTGCTTCATTATAAGAAATATAATAAGAAATATTCAGAGGTGGTTCACCACTGCCTTCTTTTGTGCAGTAGTAACCAGAGTGAGCTCGAGCATTACTGCTCTTGTCTGTGAAAGATCTCCCACCAGTTTTACCACTGCTGCCCTACACCTGTCCTTCAGGAGTTGCCCTTCCGTTATCACCATTTGAGATATGGGCTCTCTTCTGCTGAGGGGACCTTTACTCCATAAGAGGGTGGATGCATCTTAGTCTACTCACAACCTTGACCATAATGCCCTGGGTGAGAGCCCAGCATCCATTCTGCCACCAGCCCAGTGAGAAAGCCTAGCATGCTGGTGCCACTGTTGCTCTGACACTCTCAAACCCTTTCACCACATTAAGGTGTGCATCAGAGGGGGACTTCTGGGGATATCGTTTTAATGAATAATTCCTTGCTTTAAAGGCACTTCGATGACACGTCTTTCTTTTTCCTTCTCTCTCTCCCCTTTGGCGCAGCATCCTTGGTGATGAAGTCATCGGCATTTGGCCCCGAAATGCAGATAAAGCAGATGTCAACTGTGCCTGTGTGACCCATGCTGGCTTAAACATTGTGTCTGGAGATGACTTTGGACTAGTCAAACTCTTTGACTTCCCATGCACTGAAAAATTTGTAAGTGGGATTTTTAGCTTTTGGGGGTGGGGGCTGTGTAAAAAAATGTGTTGAGCTTCTCAGAAGTGCCCCAGTGTCCATGATCGGTCTGGTTGGTGTCTGTTGCATTTTACTGACGTGGCATTACTGTGGCGTTGGATGGAGCAAAGCTTAGGGTGCAAACTCTCTTGTTCTGTCCCGGCAGGCCAAACACAAGCGTTACTTTGGCCATTCGGCACATGTCACCAACATACGCTTCTCCCACGATGACAAGTACGTTATCAGCACAGGAGGGGACGATTGCAGGTAACCTTGTGTGTTGTGTGGTCATGGAGCTGCTTGGGTGCTGTAGTTAGAGCTAGGTTTGGGCAGAGGAAGCCAAGTTTAGATTCCCAGGCATCTTGCTAAATGGCTGTGGCCAAGTCGCTGTCTTTCTGCCTGTCCTAATTTGTGAGGCTACTGTGAGACAAAAATGTTGCTTGGAGCTCCTTCGCATGAGAAGGAGGAAGCACAATAAGCATGCAGTGAATTGATAATTCAGCACTAGCAGCTGAATCATACAAGCTGCCATAGGAAACGATGGGGGAAATATATGCAGGTACACCTGGTTCTTTGCTGGAGGAAATGCCTGCCCCCAGGAGCAGCAACGCCAGAAACATGTGCCTGGGGACAGGGGCCATCACCCCGGGGGCTCTGCCTTGAGTCCTGACTTTGGTGTGTATGAGCAACAGAGTCTTTTTGAGGATGGCTCCCTTCCAGAGGCCTTCTCTTACCAGAGGGGCTTGTGTGGCTTCTTCTCTTCCCCACATTGAAGGCACGTGAACTCCTCTTTTGTTCAGAGAGTCTTTTGAGGACTGGCATGCCAAAAGCAACCAGCCAGGAGTTACTGTCACACCATTCTATCATCTGCTTGGTCATAATTGGTTCAATACACCTTTGCAATAATAAGTTTTTAGCCACACTAGAAGGTTGACATCAGGCTAAAATATAGCATGTGATATGCATTATTATACTGTGTCTTAATATAGGAACTTATTATGCTTCACGATACTCTCTTAAGGTACTTTGCACAAGCTTGTGGACAAATTATTCCTTAACCAGGACTTGAACTCTCACATTTGGATTTTTTTTTTAAAAAATCACAGCAAGTTCTGAGCCCTTCAGTCAAGGAGAAAATTGCGAAGCACAAGAGGATAACAGAATTAAAAAAAAAAAAACCATACACAAGTACACTACACCCTGTGGAGTGGGCACCAGGCTGGGGAAGTCTCTCTGGCAAATGGGCACGAGAAAGCAGGAGGTCAGTTTGACCTCCCCCCAGTCACTGGTGCTTGCAAGAAAGGCACGTGGGTGGGCGCCAGGTTGGGGATACCTCTTTCAGAAGTGGAGCAAGAAAGGGGAAATCAGTGGAGTGGTGCTTTCCCCAACCTGGTGTGGCTACCCAGTAGCCTCTCGCCCTCCCAGCCACACCCATGAAGGGCTTTCCTCAGGCACACGGGCAGGGGCAGCAGGGGAAACAGCTGTGTGCCGCTGCGCCTTCCTGCAGCATGGCCAGCTGGTTTCTCGCTCTGTTTTGTCTGGGGGTGGATCAGCCACCCCCTCCCCACTCCAGCAGCCCCTCTGACTGATCGACTCCCTTGTTGGCGTGAGCCCTGTTTGCGCAGCAGAGGCTGCTGGACAGCCATGGCCAGCCGAACTTGGCTCACAACCACATCTGTCAACAAGAGGAGCCCCCTCCTGCCCTGTGGTGCCTCCTAGGAGAAAACCTGAAGGGCTGCTAGAGCAGGAAAGAGAGGGAGGGTTACTACCTGGGCCTGATGCACTGCCGTAGGAGCACTGCCGTAAAAATTGGTGGCTCGTGGGAACCACCAGGGTTGCCAGTCCTAACGTGCGAGCCGAGCCACCTACTTGACCACCAGCAGACATCGCTGGACACCACAGCCAGTACATCCTCCTCACGCTGCATGCAACTCATGCGCACACATGGAGAAGTAAGTCCTGGGCCTGCTGTGGGTGATTCTGTCCCATCATCCTGTCATTGGCGCAGCACCGTCAGGGCAACAGCTTCTCACACAAGACGGAGGTATCCGCAGGCCTGGAGGACCCCCAGGATTTGCAAAGATACCAAAAAAAAATCTTGCAGGGAAAAACTTGAGGAGGAACTCAAATCAGCTTAGTGAGCATGCAGTGTTGAAAGCAGAAGTGGGCATCACCTTGAACAAGAGCACTTCACACTGCAACCTTTTGTTGCAGGTCCTGCTTATGGCAAGTAAAACAAACCCCAGTTCACACAGAAAAGCAGGACATCAGGAAGAAGGCTCGGCTGGCCCCGTGCCGTGTCAGTTTTCTACTTGCAGCGATGTTGCTGTGTGTGACTTGTTTAATCGCATCCCTTCTGCAACCTGAAAGGTTGAAAGTCCCTAGCAAGCCTGGGGGGGGGGGGGGCAGGATGAAGTCTCTGAGGTACAAACATTCAGCTCGTTCCCCAGAAGCAGCCTCCCAGCCTTCACACCAGCCAAACTGTCGAGCAATAGCCAGGAGCCTGGGACACAATTGTGGTGCAGTGTACAGCTTGATTTACGTTTTGCTCGCATGTTGCCAGAGTAGCTCGAGGGGTCAACCTTCAGTCTGGCAGAGCCTTCAGATGGAGGCCTGGGAGATGCCTCTGAGATGCTGCTTCCTTGACAAGGACCTTGTTCCAGATAATAGTGGTGTTCCCTCTTCAACGGGGAGAGCCCCTCAGCCAAGAATGCTTATATCTGAAGTCATGTTGCAATGATACTGCCTTCTCTTGACAAGGGTTTCCTTTGATGTTTGCCCATTGCCTAAGCATTGCAGAACGAAATTGGTCAGTGAAAAGATAAATAGCCAGCTTAATATAAATGGCATTTTTCACTCTCCCACTAGTACCTTCTTGTCCTAGCTTAAAGAGAAGGCCAGGAATAAATGAACAGGTCTTAGAGTCACAGGGAATATTGGAGTAGCTTGAGGTGTAAGCCTTAACCTAGGGATGGAGAACATGCAGCCCACAGAGCTTCCCCTACTATGGGAGAGGAACTTGTTTGCTGAATTAGATTTTTAACCCACCCACCAGAATGACTCTCCGGGCAGCTACAAAGGAATGCCTTTGTAATCTACAGTCTGTGATCGGAGTCCTTTTCTCAGGGCAGCAAGAGGGTGGAATTCCATGCCTCTCTGCACAGAGAAAGGGGAAATGAGTGAGGTGGGTGACACTGTCGGAGAAGAGGGCTCTGTGTGGGGTTGTGTGCCCTTGGATGTCATCCAGCCTGTCAGCCAGCTCTGGGGAGGAAATTCCCACTCTGGTTAGGTTTCGCCCCCTGCCTGAAACCCCTTCACCTTTTCCCCAGTCCTACGTTTGTGATTCCTGTACAGCTCACAGCCCAACCTGACTGGAAGTAACCCTTGAGTGGTTTGAGTCATTAAACAGTGCAAAATCTAGGACAGAATAGTACATGTTTGCTTCACAGAGTCTTAATCAGATTGTAATTTGTGTTTAGTTAAACAAATGCTGTCTATAAGAGAAAGCATAAGGTAGTGGCATACTTTTAAGACTTGGGATGCATTGCTGGAGATCTTTTTCTCTGCTAGAAAAATGTGGTGGGTGTAGATATCAAAGGGAGGGTCCATTCGACTTTTGCATCACTGTTTTTACCCACATCCAGTTATGACCTTTTCTTCCTTCACAGTGTGTTTGTTTGGCGATGTCTTTGAAGATGAGTTCTCTCAAGTGTTGCCCTTGCTCACCACCATGTGAGTGCCAAACACTGGACTTTCAGAAATGCCTCCAAGACCTCAGCAGCTGTGTTACAAACACTGCATTGATTTACTCGTTTGTGAAAGCTCCATGCAGTTGGCAGCTGTTGGAAAAGCAAAAAGTCAGTGATTAGCTTAAACAATGTTTGGTTCAGTTTGCATGAAGCCTTTCTTCTAAATTAAGTAGTAGCCTATTGTGGAAATGAAAGCCAAACCACTTTAACTTTGAGAATGATGAAAATAATGTATGTTTCATATGACTTACTCAAGTACATAAAAACTTTAAAATTAGCCATTTCAAAGCGTTATTGGCAAGTGATCCATCAGAGTATGGAAAGCTTAGGGCCTTGATTGGCTTTCTAATATAAGTTATCATTTCCTTCAATATTTAGAGTTTTAAAATGATTCCATTTTGCCAATTTTCTGAGAAGTGCCTTGTGAAAGCTTTTCCAAGCAGTGCAGGATTTAACATGGTCTCTTGCCCATGTCTGCTTTCCGCTAACGGTGCTACAACTGAGGAGGGCTGACAAAATCATTTCCCCCTCTTGATGTATACATTCACTCATTCCCTTTTGTTTGTCTGGATCATTTAACTGAATTCTCTCTGCTTTTTTTACCATCAAAAGAAGCAGGCCAGGTGGGAGGGGCAGATTGAGAAACCATTACCTGTCAGCTTGGGGCTATTCCGTAACACGGGAAAGGATGGCTCCAAGAGGAGGTAGGATGGAAGGTGAAGAACCTGCACATGTATTATTCTCACCATCTTTCCTGCCTCTCCCATTTGCAAAACATTCTCCTTCTGCATTTCCTCACTGGGGCCAGTTCAGCAGTGACAACATGCCCTGAACTTCTTCAAGGAAAAAGCAGCCTTCCTCTAGCTTAACTTCAGGAGCTGTTTCAGAAACATTTGCTTCCCTTTCTGAGTTTAGCAGCAGAAAACCTGGCAGCCATTCAAAGCTCTTTGGTGGCAGGGGACCTCAAAACTGTGGAAACGTGTTCATTATCAAAGAGAACCTAATAGGAGTAGTGCCGAAACAGCTTGTCAGTGGCTACCAGCCGTGGTGACTGTGCATCACCTCCACTGTCAGAGGCAGGGTGCCTGTTCATGCCAGTTGCCTGGAGAAAGTGGCTAGGAGAGTGCTGTTGGGCGCCTGTCCTGCTTGTGGCATCCCATAAGCATCCAGGTGGCCATTGTGGAACAGAATGCTGAATGAGATAGGTCTTGCTTTGATCCCGCAGGACTTTTCTTGTGTTGTAGATGGGCCTAGGTCCAGTTCTTGTGGCTCTAGACACCTTAGAAAACACCTGTTTCCCATGTGCCACGGCACTGGAGGGCCTCTGTTGAAGACTGGCTGAGAGCCAAATTGACCTCACGGGTTAGATGACCAGAGAAGGGGAGCCTGGCCACTTCAGAAGCAAGAATTACCAGCAGCTGCCACCACATCCTTCACTGCAAGCAATACTCTGCAACAGATAGCTCCCCACATAAGCGTGATGGGGAGCAGGGTTCAAAGTGCAAATGATATATTTGTTCCAGGAATAGCTTTACCTGCTGAAGAACACAAGGGTAAGCAGCTCAGTCTGGGTCCAGGCAAAAGACTTCCCCAGAATCAAGAGAGGAGGCTTCCCCAGAATCAACAGAAAAGGAAATCAGTGTAGAACTGTGCAAAAGAGCTTCAGTGAACTCGAGGGACCACCATTTGTTGAGGGCGATTTAATCAGTGGAATATATTGATGCCTTACACGCCTCTAGAATTTCAGACACACGTCCCTATGCAGTCTTACTCCCATATTATTCGTAAGGGTGGTTTTCTGTATTAGGTAATGTAACCATATCAAGCTGGTAATGTCAGGTGGTCACCTTGTATGCCTATGTTGTAATGTTGGCCTTTCATATTGATTGTATCTTGACTTGTATCTTAAACAGAATGATTTGCTATATAGTGGAATTGTGCAAAAATATTTAAGAGCAATAGTGTGTGTGTGCGAGGAAGAGATTTGTATTTGTATGGTTTGATTTTAGGTACATTATATTGAGACCTGATGTTGTATTATAATGTAAATTAAAGTGATACTGCATGAGTTTATTTTTCAAATGATTCAGTAAAAGATTTATGATTTGAAAGCAACCAGGTGTCAGACTGTTATTGTGAACAAACAGCAATGCTTGAAGAAACAAGCAGCCTGTATTGTTGTGCCTCCTTGCAGTATTTATTTATCTATTAACAGCATTCGACCCCATCCTTTACCGAGATCTCAGTACTGATCCCATTTAGCAAAGTTTCCATGTGTCAGAAACTGCCAACAGAGGAAGAAATAAAAAGGCAATGCTTTGTTCATTCCTTTTACCTAAAGTTAAGGTTTAAAATAAATGTAATAGTGGCCCGTCCTACATTTGTTATTTTCTTTGGACACACTGGGTCAAGGTGTGCATCATGCAAAGCCATCCTGAGAATAAGGCACGATGGGCGGGTTACTCCCTGAAAGGCCTACCATGGTGCACCCGTCAGCCAGCTTCTCTGAGGCGGGTCTTGACCTGCTTCCAGCTCACGCTTCACACCCATCCCTGGCACACATCCAGAGGCTTCACAAGAAGATTCCTGCCCTGCAATCTTTTGTTCCCTCACTAGTTGGGCAGCCTTTTTACTCTTGATCCAGGAACAAGTCTACTTTCCTGGGCATCACAGACTTCCGTGGCTCTAGAAGGAACTGGCGCATCCTCACCATCGCCTTGTCTGTAGTGAAACACCTGCCTACTGAGACAATGTTGGAAACCATAGACTGGACAGTTCCCTAAAAAGCTCATATAGGCATCTGTTGCTGCTTCAGTGGCAATGATCAGGTGCCTCTAAAGTTGTAGCTTTTATGCTGGTTTCAGCAATGCGCTGCTCTTTGTGTACTGGTGAACAGCAACTCTTCCTCTCCTCCCCACTGCCCCCATCATGCAGCTAGAACTGGTTGCCTTTCGGGCTGCTCAGCCTGCTCTTTTCCTTGTTTAGCCATTACTTTGGGGGTGCCCCTCCCCACAATCTCCCAGTAAGCCATTAAAGGGCGATTTCTTAGGCACTGTAAGAACATGTCTGAGTCTAATGGGGCAACTCTCCTGCCTTCTTCACCTGAGACAGTTGTCAGACTGGCCACCTACATCTTCTGGACATTCGCCGATTCAAGCATTGCTGATCAGCACTATGACTCATCTGCTGCTGTTTTTCTTCCAAAGACAAGTACATGAGCAATGCAAATGGGAGGAACCTACTCTTTTGAAGACCAGAATCCATACATTCTGCAGGAAAGCCAAGGTTTGACTGCATTTCTCTTGGAAAAGTGCTCCAGATCATGTCATAAATGGTGCTGCTCACATCCTTTCTTTTAGGTGGACCATCTCCAAGTCCATGTTGCATATTAAAGAGCCAGGTTCACAGAATCATAAAATGATAGTGTTGAAAATATATTGGGCTGGTTATACATAACTGGTAAACTTGTTCCAGAAGCAGAGAGGGCAGCTTGGGCAGTGGTCATTGCGGCCAACTCGCATCCTAGCCAGCACCGGGCTGCTTGCGTACTGAGGAGACTTTGCTTGACTGGGACAATGGGTGACCTGCTGACTAATGTGTGATGCCCAAGTCTGTGAAGTGCAGGGAAGGGCCAGAAGCACATCAGCATTTCCACAATTTGTTTTTGGGGTGTCAGTTCCCTAGTTTGGCACAGACCAGGACTGTGGGGTGGGTGCAGCTTTGGCATGGAAGGAGCTTTCAACTAGCCCCACCAGGCGTTAACCCAAAAAATCTGACCGGGCTGGATAGTTGCCCCCCCCCCCCCCCGGCAAACTTTGACCCTACATCCAGAGTTCCCTTTGACCCATAACTCACTGATTGCAAGTGGTCCCTTTTTGTTTCAAAAGAGGTTAGAAATCTGGGTCCTTCTTGCCACCCACCTTGACAAAGATACTGTAAATCAGTTAAACATGGGTTGCCAACTAAGCAGGGATGGGCTCAGGATCTAGTAAGCAGCCAGTTTCCCCTCTGCAGTGTGTTGGAAATTTTTGGGAACTAGGCGGTGGCGGAGATATCACCAAGAGAAAGCTTTGCTTCCTCTGTGAAACCCAATGGCCCTATTACCAGCTGGGTAGTGAAGAAAAGTGGCCAATACAAGGGAGCATAATTATGTCATTCTACAGTTTTTTTTTTTTTTTTGGTTTGTGTGAGACTTTGGAGCATGACTGTGCAACCCAATGGCCCTATTACCAGCTGGGTAGTGAAGAAAAGTGGCCAATACAAGGGAGCATAATTATGTCATTCTACAGTTTTTTTTTTTTTTTGGTATGTGTGAGACTTTGGAGCATGACTATGCCTCTCTGACTGTATCGAAGGCCAGATCTGTAGAAGTGTGGGTTGACTGGATGTACGTTGGTGAAGGATAAGTAGCTTTTACAAGCAGGGGAGGACTACAATCTTGCTGTTGCTCTTCCTCCATCATATGCACCAAATTTAAGCCCTATCCAGGCTCCTTAGAACGGGGAGGCTGGCACAGAGGAAAGTGGGGAAAACTAGTTCACCAGTATTAGGACCTAAGGGCTCTCCAGATGATGAGCTTTACTCTGCACTGACAAAGCTAGAGGATTGCACAAAATGCATTAAGGCCCTTGAATCTCCTGCATGTGCTCCCACTATATTAGCGAGATCGACGGAGACCTATAGAGCAGGACCCTTCTGAATTATGAGAAAGACCTAGGCTTCTGCAGATGCTTAAGAGCTACTGCCAGATCGGATGGCTCAATGTATACACACATCCCATTTACCACTTTGGATCTAGTTCACTGGAAGAGTTATAATGCATCATATAGATGATACTGTGGAAAAATGGCTGAATGATTTTCTGACCTCAAAGGACAGGCACTTAGTGAAGGATAAACAATGTGGCTAGGAAATTCAAATATAGCAATCACAAGACAGAGGTTTTTCTTTTCCAACACGCACAGTGGAATCCAAATACCACTGATGGATGGGCACGCTTAGTTCAATACAGGGAATTTATTACAAGTCCTGAAGGAGGAGATATTGAAGAGCCAGAACGTGTCCAAACTGTACAGAGTAGAGGTTGGATGCTGAGGACCCAGCAAAATTAGAAAAATCTATCTAAGTCTGTGGTGTGTAACCCATGTGATCTGCTGTTTGTACTGTTTAAATGTGAGATAGGGATGTTCAGGGATTCTTAGCCTATGGAGAATTCACTGCGAGGTTATTTGAGATTGTATCACGGGGGAGGGAATTCTACCTCCCCCAACCCTGCTCCATTGCTTCCATCATTCGCAAGCAGTCTTGGTCAACAGTGTAATGCCCTGAATGCAGTAATGGGGTACAAAGACAGCAGGGCCACCTGTGCACTTCTTACAGGGTGCTGCTGAAGAGGAGGCTGTCCCTTTAACTGTGGGCCCGTGGCTGGCTGTCCTGGCTAGAGCAGGGAGTGGGGCCTTTCCAGTCAGGGCACCCAGGGACTGCCATCTGTTTACAGTCTCTCCTGAGTAGATTGCAAGCCCCACTGACCCTTCACAAATACTTTGCAATATAATTATATATTAAATTACATAATTGCATTTATATTTTATATATTAAATTATAAAATTATATATTAAATGTGATGATTAAACTATATCAACCTCTTCACACCGTTGTGTACTTATTGGACATTTGCATACTAAGCCATGAGCAACAATTTCTTGGCAATGCAAACCACTGTGAAGCAGGTTGAACAAGCAGTGGGTTCTCAGCATCTCTCTCACCCACCTTGCCAAAACAGGGCCAGGTTCAGAAGATGTGAAAACTGATCACTCATAGTGGGTTGTCATCAAAACCAAGGCACTGGCTTGAGTGACACAATGCCCCTCTACAAGCATGTGCCCTATATATGAAACCATTAAAAAGCAGGCAGGATAGTGTTGCCTCACTACTAGAAGACTTCTCTCCCAACATGTCACAACTACTTGGCAGTTTTCTCAAAGAGCTGCGCAAAGCCAGAGCTGTGGATGCTCACTTCCATTGTGAGGTTCTGTGCTGTACTACAACCAATGGGAGGAAACCACACAGCAGCCCAGAGCAGCATCACACCTCCGCCTCCTCCGCCAATTGCGCTGCGTGCTGTGGGATGTGATACCATTGCATGTGTCATTTCATTGGTTGTTGTTTGCACAGGTAGGGAAACTTAAGTGTGATGCCCTGGTGCACTTTTTGCAGCAGGAGAGATTTGCTTCTTCACTGATATGCAGCTTCTTGTCTGTGAGGCTGAAATCAAATACAAGAGGGAAAGAAACCTTATGTACCAAGAAAGCACAATACTGCTGACACCGGGATAATATGCCATATTCTGCTAGGACTGATCAAGACACAATCTTCAAGGTATGACTATGGAACACCGGCAATTTACTCCTTACCTTAGCAGACCTTTGGTAAGTAACACCTGGCTCATATGAACAAACCGAAGGTATCCTTCAGCAATGCAGAGTTCGTCTGAAAAGTTGCACTGGACCTAATACTACATCAGTTTGCGCTACCTGACACACCTAGTGGCAACCTGCATGTCTGAATCAGTCATTCCAAGTACAACTCTTAATTCCCAGGTACAAATTCACATACAATACCGGGTAGTGGAGACGGTTCATACATTCAACAGGAATCAAAATGATAAACTATGCAAGTATAATCAGCCATTGGCAACTTGCATTTTATAAATATTTTACATACACAAGACCTTTTAGGTCTATAGCCTTTATTGATACTTGAATTTTGTTTTTACATTTCACAATGCATTCCACAGACTTAGTTCAATACAGCTTAAACCGCAAGTGTATACATTTTCATTTTTAATTTCTTGCATTAACCAAGTTTGAAATTTTCAAACGACATTTGCAGCATTGGGGCGCAACCCGCTGATCCATGCAGAGATGCTGAGGAGTCCGAGCACAATGGAGAACAAGCATGCTGGGTTTTCCTTGCTCTACCTGCAGAGATCTCAGGCCACACCTTCAGAAATTCCTTCCACAGATTCAGAGTTTGAGAGACTGTAAACTTGTTTGCTCAAAATAGACTAGAGGAGGTTTGTGCAGCAAAGGTTATTGGCAGAAATTGTGTAATGTGCAGAGAGTTGGTTTCTGTTTAATAGAGGCTAGTGATTCCTGAAGATTTGTTTACATATCACGGAGCTAAAAAAAAACATAATCAGTTCAGTTGTCTGATATTTCAAGCACTGTGGAGGAGCTGGGCAGCCTAAGCTGCTGTGAAACACTATATATATATATATATTTATATAATTTTTATATTGGCAACTGATAAAACAGTAAAATTAAAAAGCACAATACAGCTACACTCAATACCAAAGGGCAGGGCTTTTCAAGCCTGCTTTAACGGCATATTCTTCTGAACATCATTTTAGAAAAAATGCAATCTACACAGACCAGAGGCAGTGCTAAACTGAAGTGTTCTCCAGAACTCCAGCTGCAGCACATGCTCTTGAAACGCAGCAAGACTGCCTTGACCAAAGCATAAAATGTACAACTCTCCAATCTGTTATGCTAACCAGTGCTGCACACGGGAGAAGCAGAGAGGATTAGGTTTCAATCCATATGTAGCAGCTTAAAATACTTATGATGAACGCACATGGCAGTCAAGAACAGGATATTTCCCCCCACCCTCGAAACACTGCGTTGCTAAAAAATAAAGATCTGTGAAACCGCACTGCAATGTCAAGGTTTTGCTATTCCCTGACCCTCCCCACATGATCCGAATGAATATGCCTCCCCTCCCCACTTAAAAGACAAACTCCTATTTTAATAAAATTTGCTTCTTTGTTTTCATTCAACTTTGCGTTTCAGTCCAGGGATTTTTGCTTGGACCCTGTAAAAGAAAAAGAAAAGCAAACCATTTGAATGTGTAAGGAATATGCACAGAGAACCGGGTGTTATCGGGTCTCCTTATTCAAATGCTGTCCTCTGCAGGTCATTTAAGTAGGCCAATTCCCAAATCTGGATAGACAAGCTGCAGGGTACTGCTAGCCACTCAGAGATCTTGGTGATTTAGATACAGAAATCCTGTGGTGAGAGAGGCCAAAGTGAGATGAGATGCAAAATGTGAGGCTAATCTAAATTTTGGGCCCAGATGTGGTTTGGCTGTTAAGGCATGCTAAGGAGGGTTCCTCTGGAAGTTGCAAAAGGTGCTGAACAGAAAGGAAAGTTGGCACCATCACCACCACCATCTCTGTACCACCCTACAGCTGAAGCTCTCTGGGCAGTTTCCAACCATTCATAAAAAATATACCACTAAATATAGTATTTTTAAACAAATGGAAAGCACCTGGGATACCATATTCCCCTCCCAGGTGCACGCCTTCATGTGGTGAGGGGGCTGAAAGTGTAAATGCAGCCAAGAACATCGCCACCCCCATGCTGGACTGTCTCCCTAGGCGGGTCTCCCAGTGGGATCTCCCCAGGCAGAGTGGACAGGCCAGACCTGGGAGTGCTCCTCCATCGGCACTTGGGCTGCTTCCTGTGTTGCTTCATCACTCTCCACTCCAAACGCTCACCATGGAGCCAGACAAGCTCTGCAACAGGCAGGTTACTTAATCCGAGTCCTCTCTGTCTTCCACAACTTGACTGGAGCAGCAGCTGCCTCAGCCAGAAACCTTCTTCATTGGTTTGCACGGGTGGACCATCTTAAGAGGTCTCTCAGGCTTGAAGAAGAGCAAAGCTATGGCCAATCTAATGCTCAGCAGGTGCTGATCGGACCAGGACAAAGCGACTAGGTCAAAGCCCCCACCCTCAGAGCACCATCCTCAATGTCTCGCCAGAAGAAAACGAAAACAGTTCTTAGTAGCAGACAAGCACAACTGTACTATGTGCATCTAGTTCATGTCAACCCCTCTGGAGAGGAGATGCACAAGTCACTGCTTCCAGGATGCTGGAAACCTGTCGTTTGAATTCTCCTAGAGATGCCTATGATGTCTAAAGATGCACCAAGTCCTCTCCCAGGAAGTCTGGGCACAGGCAATTCTATGCAATCTAAGGCAACCAGCACCCCAAGATGTGGGTCGAGTTGCAATTTGTAAGTCCTTTAACCTTGGAAAGAACTTCCATGTGCCACAACATCATTAAAGGCACAAGAAGAGCCATGCTGCAACAACCAAAGGACCAGCAGTAGCCAACCAGCTGCCCATGAGAAATCCACACACAAGGTACAAGGAACGTGTCCGTGCATCGCCCCCACTCCCTCCCGTGTCGTTTGTTCACTTGTGTCCACAGGGGCACTGCCTCTGACCGCATACAACCATCAGGCCTCTCAGCCATCACTTGCCCTCTGCTCTGCAAATTTGTCCCCTTAAAGTCATTCAATTCACTGCCTGTCTGGAAAGGGTTGCACTCCCCCGTAAGATCAGGTTTGTGGTCTTGGGGTACTGAATTTGTTGCTGGAGTCTCAAGACACTGTGGCAGGTTGGAGCGCATTTACTGTCTCAGCTGGTTTGCAAGCTGCCCTGGACAGAGAAAAGGTACCCTCAAGACTGGACTACTGCAATGCACGCCACAGGGGACTGCCCTGACGGTCGCTCTGGAAGCCCGTGCAGACCGCAGCGGCTCACTTGTTCTCAGGTGCTGCTCCTTTCCGGCACGCGGCTCCCGTATTGAAGGAACTGTGCTAGCTGCCTATCCGCTACTGAGCCAGGTTCAAGGTTCTAGCATGCTGTGCAAAGCCCTGAGCCACCTGGGACCAGGATACTGGAGGGAGTGCGCAGGCCCTTGTTCACTTCCTGAGGTCATTGGAGCAGGTTCCCTTGTTCACTCCACACAGACCAGTGGACTGGAGTCTACCAGGAAAAGAGCCCTCAGTGTGGGGGCCCACTGCTATGGAACTGCTGGCCCCCAGAAGTCGGGCAGGCAAGCTCCAACAGGGCACCAGCTGTAGACCTGTCTGCTCCTGGAAGGTGCTCTCGCTGATCAGTTTTAATGTTTAATCAGTTTTGGTTTTAATGTATTGTCCGCATTCCTTTACCTATTTTAGCTTCATTGTTCACTGCCCCAGAATATGCTGAGATACAGAGCAGTATGCACATTGAACTTACTCTGAATAAGTAAATAATCAGATACTTTAGCAGCAGTGAAAAGAAGCATGCTCCTCTGGTTTCTGCACCACACTCTTTCAGAACACCTCCCATGATACTAACTTTCCGTACACTTACTTTGCCACTGCGTCTTTGACATTCTTGTTCACAAGTCCCACATAATGGTCAATTTGAGCCTGAAATGCAAACGAAAGGAATTATTTCCCCCTTCAAGTAAGGTACGAATTGCCACGCACATACATTTACTCCATCCAGGTCGTGATGTTTTGGTATGTGGGAAATGCTGAGGTTGGGCTGGGAAACCAAACAAAAATTACTCCCTGTTCAATCAGGACAGGGTTTTTTTGTCTCCTATGGTGCAATCTCTATTTCAGAAGTATTTAAGGTTTTTATTTTTAAAGCATATTGTTTTGTATAAGACTTTTTACTTTTATGATTAATCTCCACTAAGTAGAAAGGCAGGATACCAGTGATTGCAAGCCACCCTGAGGCTTATGCAACGGGGGCGGCATATAAGCTGTCTAAATAAATAAAATAAAATAGTAAATAAATGCAAATGAAAGATGAATGTGAAGCCATTGGGAAAGACCATCTAAGAGGAATATTCATCACTTATGGAAGAGAAGCCACGCGCCTCACGTAAAAGAGGCGGTTTGGAGAGCCCACTCTTGCTCCCTGCTCTGCATCGTCCCTGAGGCATGTCATCTGCTCACCACAACCAGGAAATCATGCCAGGGCAGCTTAAGAGGGACGCCCGCTGGACTTACATAACCTCCATGAAGCACTAGAACAGAAGCAGGAGCTAAGCAGATCAACGAAGGAGGGGTTTGTTCCTACAGAGCTTCTCAGTCTTATTCATATTATTCCTGGTATCCCAATTAAGCATCTAATCATTGCCAAATTCTCAGGAGCTGCCACACTGCACACTCACCTGGTGCTTTTCATAAATAACAGGAATACTGAAGAGCGAAATCAGAGCTGGAAAAAAGAGCAGATTTAAGTCCAGAAATATGAAGGGGTGCTGCAAGTTTTCATTAGCTGAGCAACAGTAAAGGCATGTCGATCTGATGTTTGTTGTTGTTGTTGTTTTGTATATGGACTTTGCTACTTAAATAAACATTGCAACAGGCAGCAGATTCCACATTCCCCAAATCCAACATGTGTGTTCAGAAAGAAACAGGGTGAAACAGTCTAGGGGCCTGTGGTCCTACTGCACTTATGTCAAAAGGAGCCTTCCTTGCTTCCAAGACAGGTTCTGAACCCTAATTCCATTTTGGAGAAGCTCTCGGGGCCATGTCGAGGGTGGGTGGGGCCAAAGGGCAGAGTCGAATGACCAAAAATAGCAGCCCATTTTAGCCCAAAGCGCTTAATGGCAGTAAGTGGGCCTTAAGAGAGTTGGGAAAGGGCTACACATAACGGGCATCTGAAAAGGACCTGACCATCCGGGGTATCAAGGAAGTCTAAAGATGGCGACATGTATGGAGCCAGGTTGGGACCCACCCCTGTGGTTCTACACTGCTCCCCTAACAGTAGCATGTTCACCTTCTAAATCTTTCTCAAAGTCCAGCACTCCTTCACCACTGTGACTTTTCTCTTCCAGGCTTCCCAGTCTGTTGCCCCCAGATGCTTCACACGGCAACTCCCAGCATTCCTGATCATTCAAGGAGGTGCGGGCTGGGCACGCCTGCTGTATCAGTGCTTCCTGATCACTTTCCAAGGATGCTCTGTACTGTTGCTTAGTGCAATACAAAAAGGATCAACTTACCCAGTATCAGCAATGTCAGACCGTTGAACAAGGCACCGACGTAGGTGAATACCCACATCAACACTGCAAACTGGGGAAAAGGAAAACCTGGATGAGAATTCAAGATGTGGAACCTCCAATTAGAACTGCAGCCCGCTCTACCACCACCGCTGGCGACAGACACATGGGGAACCCCCATGCTCCCAAACAGTGTGCCTGGATGTCCCCGGCAGGCATGTGGACATTCCCTATGCGGGATCCACCAGCACAGATGTGAAGGGGGGAACCCACTATGGGGGTGCTGTTGCCAGCATCACCATCAAGACATCTGTTCCAACACTGAGATGGATCTCACTGAAACGACTTCTCTAAAGGAAGGCACTGAGAAATGATCGAGGAGCAAGAAGGAAACGGTTCACTCTCTGTATGTCAGAGATAATTATAGCCAAAAGGGCTTGTAAGGAGATCTGCAGCCCTTGGCGCTGAGCTGCCCAGTCCTGCTCAGGCCAAGTCCGGGCTGACGAAAGGCTCAGGGCTCTTCCATCTCTCTGTGGTTCAGGCGAGAACTTTCACTCAAACAGGTCCAAGTTCCGCAGCACTCAAAGAGGAGCCATGAGGCACACGCGACCTCTTCAACTCTGCAGGCAGATTTAGGCCCAGTGTCCATGCTGCTTTGCTGCGATTAAGGCCACGCCGAGGTGTTCTTCTCAGGTGACTGTCACAAGGGAAGCGCCACATTAGCAGACACCCTCCAAGCAGAAAGGAGTGGCATGCATTATGAACAGGAAAGGCACCCCAGGGATTGGTCACACTCTTGTGGCCTCTCTCGGGCAGTTGCAGCTGCTTTTTAGGACTAGAGGTGAGACTCCCTTGGACATCGAGAGGCAAATCCTTTAACCAGGCAAGTGTTTCACTGCAAACTTGAAAATGGAACTGACACTCGAAGGCAGGAAGAATCACCTTGTGGTGAGCTTACTGTGCTAAATGTAACAGGAGAAAGGGGAGAGCTGCAACATCTTCTAAAATCTGCAAATGCAAATCTGCAAATGCCAATCTGCAAATTGGCAAAACCCTTGCCAAGTAAGGGCGAGGTGGGGAGAAGAGCAGGATCACCAGTGTGAGTGTCAGCACAGCTGCTTCTCATTGCCAAACATTCAGTAGGAGAAGGGTCGTTGGAACAAAAAGGCCAAGAACACAATTGCACAATCTTTTGTTTGAACTAGTTATGTCTCTTTTTCTGATAGGGTCCAAAGCCACTTGCAAGACTTTAAAATGCAAGCAAACAACAAAGTTTAGGGTTTCGCCTGATGGCGTCAGTTCTGCAGAGGGAAGCGCTTCCACTGGCGGAACCTGAAAGGGATGCCATTCCCCCCACCCCCGGCACACCGCTCCTCACACACCCGCAGTGTCTGTCCCCGGGATCTGGAAATCCTCCTGGGGAGAGGTTTGCACAGTCACAAAAAGGATTTGCTAAGGAAAAGGACAAAGAAGTTATTGTGCCGTGAAATCAGTCAAGCACTCGCATCTTTGAATAGCCAGTGTGAGCCAGTGTGATGCAGTGGTTAAGAGCATCAGATTGGGATTCAGATGTTCTGGGTTCCAATCTCTGCTCCAACCAGGTGACTTCAGGTCAGTCACACTCTCTGCCCAATCTACCTCACACGGTTGTTGTAGTGGGGGGGGGGAATTGAGAGCAAGAGGAGGAAAATGATGTAAACCGCCTTGATTTCTTTAAAAAGAGAAAAAGGCTAGATATAAATGTCATAAGTAAGTATCAGGCATGAATTAATACTCAAGGAAGAGCACCAGGGTGTGGGGTTCCGACAGGGGTAGCCAACTTTGGAGGGTTGGGAGACTGCATTGACCCCCATGGAAGCCAGGGGAGCTGAAACCTTCACTGCAAGTCTAGTTCTCCAGCACAGTCTCTGGCATTTGGGCTGCAACCAGCAGCCGGGGACATGAATATTAATGGGGTATCAGTCACATGCTGCCACCTAGCAGTTTAGCAGGCTATCTGTAAAGCAGGCTGCTACTCTGAGCAAGGATTTGTTGTTTCTAACTCACTTTGAAAATTCTGCACCAACTGGTGTCCTTGTCACTTAGAATTATGATCCCAGGGAGAAGTGCTTAATGTTCAGCTGAAATCAAGCGAAAGCAAAATCAAGAGGCTCAGGATGTGGCCACCTTGCTGAAGCTGGGCAGGGCTGGGTCTGGTCAGTGGCTGGATGACAGACCGCCTGTGCAGCCGCTTCCTCCACAACCGTGAACGTGGGATATGAATGTACGAGACGTGCGAAACTGCTGTTGTGCCCCGGACTGTCCATGATCTCAGAGGGGACAATTCACTCTGTCCTTTCACGGGAAGGAAGGTTTGCAGGGCACACGGGGCCTGCAGAAACACATTGCAAAGTGGCCCTGTATGTTGATCTGGCAAGTGCAGCCCAACGGAGAGGAGGAGAGAGAGAGACTCGCTGCACCAGTGTGGAGCCTCAGGCGCTTCAGAGAGGCCTGAGAGTGAGCACAGCGGTTCATTTACAGCCTCCCACCTCTCATCTTCACGGATTCCAGAGCAGCAAGCGACCAAAGGCAAAAAAAGAATGAAACGTAACACTGAAAGCAGAATGTCCACAGAAAAAGGGTCTGGTCGACCAAAGGTGGGTTCCTGAAGTAATATGCCACACCTGATACCCCTGGCTCTGTTCTCGAACACAGTCAAAACTGGCAGAACATTGTCCACTTGCCCAGTTTATCAGATAATGGCACCTGTCACATGGACAGCATAATCTCATACAATCCCAAAAAGCTATTTAAGCACGCATTAAAAATAGCTGAGTAGCTGAGCCTCATTTTCTGCCATTTCAATTACAGTGTAGTCTAAATAAATAAATAAATAAATAAATAAATAAATAAATGATATATATGGTCATTCAGGGCCGACGTCATTAGCTAGGTGCCTTTCTTTTATGCTTGGCTGGATCTTTTTTATTGTCTATTTATTGTCAAATGTTTTTATGCTATCTTCATTTTTAATTCCTGTTAATGTTTTTATCTTTTGCATTTTATTGTTTTTATACTTTGCTGTAAACCACCCAGATAGCTTTGGCTATGGGTGGTACCTAAATAAATAAACTAATACTAATAACAACAGCTGAAGAAGAAAGTCACTTTTTAAAAAATGGGCAGTTTTGCCATATTGGTGACAAAGAGAAAAGGGTTCCCTGCCATGCCCCCAATGCCCACCGTTCCTTTCTACGGAAGCCACTTCTTTTGGGCCACAGCCAACGTAAGCCACAATGGCCACCCTAAGCTCTAATCAAATTGGTGCAGAGCTCCACTGTGCTCAAGAGCAGAAAAATGCAGAATGAGGTCCTACGCACAGGATTTAGGTTGCAGGGGATCCTGCGCTCTCAATTCCCCCACCTTTTTATTTAACAGAATGAGTTTCTATGGTTTGAGCTTCTAAACACGCTACAGGCAAGCGACAGTTCAGAGGTGCTTAACTGATTTTATTTTTCATCCTCTCAGCCTCTGGCTGCATAAATTCACTTTGTACATCTTCATGGCACTGTAACCCCCAGGACTGGAGAGGTGGGTGGAACTATGGTTTGTCAATTGGGACATCACATCAAACCACAGTTAGGGCACGATCCGACAAAGATGCATGTAACCCTCTGCAAGTCGAAGGGCTGCAGGCACGCTATAGAGGGCAGAAGAAATGTGGACGTGAAGGCTGCCTCTGTACGCTTCCTTTCTTAGAAAAAAACTTACATGGCTGTATTCATCTGTCGGAGCAGGACAGAAGGAGGTTGACATGCCACCAGGATAAGCTCCTATTGTTGCAGTGGTGGCTTCTTAAGTGGAACAACCACTTAACCCCGTCTCTGAGACCTTACCTCTTGCAGCCTTGGAGGTATAGCTGGCATGGTTCTCTCCACACGGATCATTTTCTAACTTCATAGCTGGGCCACCAAAAAGACCCCGAGGCCACCTAGAAGCTGTCTAACAGCCACGGCTGTTAAATGAAGCTACTGTTTGTAAAACCACCTCAAGACATGGTTTTAAATCATGGCTTTTAAAGTACTTTTTAAAATTCTGACACCACAGCAGGCCACAGTTCAACTTCTTTGGGCTCCATTTAGGCACTCTGCCACACGATGCTTAACAGGGAAGCGGTTTAGAAAGTTACAAAAATGAAGATTATGAAACTCTACTTGATGTAAAGTTCTGCCTTATTTTGCAACACAGAATATACCAGGAAGTCTCTAGGAAAAAATGCAGCAGAACACTCTTCATGGAATATGCACTACACCACAAGGCCCAATTATTTTATAAATTCCAGCGAGGCAGCTGTGATAGTTTGTGGCAGAAAAAAGTGACCGAGTCTTGTGCTCACTTACAGACTAATGAATTTATTATAATATTGTTGTTGAGGACCCACCCGACTCTGTTAAATGAAACTTGTCATACACTTCTTGACATGTTTGGGAAATGTAAATTGTCTGTATTTAAAACATCTTCTGAGGTATGTACTCACCTTCTCCTCAAAAGAGATGGAAACTCCAGTTTTCTCTGAATTCATGGGCTGTCTCAATGGCTTTTAAAAGCCACTCAAATCTTTGTTTTCAAATTTAGCCCCTCTTTTGGAAACTGAACCCTGGTCTTGCATATGCGACAAAGCTACAAGAAGCAAGACCACCACAACCGTTCCTGAGCCCTTCTCAGAACCAACGTCATTCATTGCACTGCTGCAGGTAAGATACCCTCTTTCTTTTGGGGCAAAAGTCCATCTGTATCTTTCAATTAGTCGTGAGCCAAAGAAGAATTATCCTTGGCTATGACAGAATGCATCTTATGGAAAGCTCAGCTCATCAGCCAGAGCCAGTGTGGTGTAGTGGTTAAGAGCGTGGGACTGGGACTCAGGCGATCTGGGTTCTAGTCCCCGCCCGGCCATGGAGCCACCTGGGTGACTTTGGGCCAGTCACAGACTCTCAGCCCAACCTACCTCACAGGATTGCTGTTGTGGGGATAAGATGGAGGAAGACATGTAAGCTGCCTTGAGCCCTTTGTAGGAAAAAGGCAGGATATAAATAGAAAAAAAAAAAAAAAAAAAGCTAACAGCTATATGGGATCTGCACTTGTGTCATAGAGGAATCCCCCAAATGCTTGCTGGCAGGAAGAGACTTCCACGTGGTGCCCTGGTCTGGGCATTCCCGCAATGATCACACATTCCTGCAACTTCCTGCGGCTGCTTTAGTAAGAGAAAGACACTAGTATGGAAGAAAAGTGCATAGTTCAGGCTACCCATGCGCTTCTCCCATAGTTAACCAGGCACATCACTCAACCCCTCACTACTGCAGTAATGCATCGCTCATGCTTTAATCATGGTGGGTTCAATGGCATTAAAACAATATCTGAGCTGGAATTACACCCTAAGTGACTCCCGCTATATTTAGCAATGGCAGCCATCACTTCAAAACTCAACACGGAAAAGCTGATCTCTTAACACAGTTTGGAGACACTAAAAATAGGCCACGCACGCGGCACCTGAATTACTAAAACTGATTGTGTCAAACCCTTCCATGGACTAGAGCCTGCATCCTCCAAGAAAACTGTAACTCAAGGCACTTTATGCCATCACTGCATAATCTGGTGCCCTCCAGATGCACTGCACTTCAAATCCCATCATTCCCCCATCAGCATGGTTACTGCCCATGATGACAAGTTATGACAGAAGCCACAGGCCAGCATCTCTTGTAGGGTACCAGGTTAGGGAAGGTGGTCTCGTATGCTCAATAACTCTATTAGCCTTTAGGAAGCCGTGGTACACTTTCCTTTTTGCTGCGATAGTCAACACGTGATTTATTTACAGCTTATTAGAAAGAGTCATTCAAAGTCTGGCCTCCTCTGAGAAATGCTTGCATGTCCTGCTGGCATGGACTTCCTTCACTCCAGATGTATTTGTGCATGTGCAAGGGAAAGAGAAATAGTGTGGGTTCACGGGATTTTATTAAACTCACAGTATCACTAACACCTCTGCAGCAACTTGCAGTGCAGTGAGCCCCGTTTTCCTGCAAGGTGGTGGCACTGGTTGTTATGTGAACTCTGCCAAATAAAACCCAGCATGGCGGAGCTGATCTCCCACTAGCAAGATTTCTGGGGCAGTTGTTGAACTGTTCCTCCGATTTGTGAGATGGGCATAATTCAAGTCATATTCCAATCTAGGGAATGCAAACTCTCATTCTCCACTAATGATACAGCAGATGGAATTTTGCATATAAACTGAGTGCAGCCATTTCCCAGGTTAAATTGCAGTGGAAGCGATGTCAAAGGGTTTATAAGCTTCAACACAATTCATTCCAAAGCCATCAAAACAACTCAACACATTTCAGGCTATAAAACCCTCAGGGGAATTCCTTTGCCTTTTCTTAAGAAAGAACTTTAACACAGATTTGACCTCAAAATTAATCTAAGGCTGTCTTGATTATGTTTATTAAGAACCCAGGAACATAGGAAGAACTATGCTGGAGCAGAGCAGTGGTGCCTTTAACCTCCCTTCTGGGAAGTTGCCAAACCACACAGCACTAAGCACCTCACAATAAAATGCACGTGCTTTTCCTTAAGGAACAAAAATTCTTGAGCTCCCCAATAAGGTCATATGCTTTCTAACTGAATTCTAAAGCACCAGCCGTTTTCTTCACCAGTGGCAGTTCACAGTTCGCCTTTTGTTCCAGGGTGACCATTTGCCTTCCCTCCAGGGACATATTACTGGATTTTGGGCTTCTCTGGGGCTCAGTATGACAAAGCCACACATACTTCCCCTTACAATTGCACTGAGCATCTGAGGTGCATGGAGCACTTTTGAAATTCATAATAATGTCACAGTCAAGAGAAAGGTGAGTGGGAAGCACACCTTTTGGCTGGCTTCCCAAGGCAGTGAAAACATATGTGTTTTTGCTCTGCTGATGTCCCTAAATAAAAGAATATCTAATGTATAGCTACACTGTAACTGTATTTTATCATAGATTTTAAATGCAGGTGTCCATTCCTTCATATGGTTTTATCGTAGTTCTTTACCAATAAATCATCCAGCCACCAAACAATTGGGTAAGGTAGTCAACATTTGTCTGAGTGGTACCATTACAGGTTGCAGTTGGGGGTTTGCATGATAGAATAAATTAGCTTGTCTTCAACATGATAGTTTAGGCCCAAACAGAGGTTGAGCAGCTTAATAAGAATTAGGCCTAATGTGGATTTCAAAGAAAATTAGTCCATAAAGGTGCGATCCAATGCATGTTTGGACAGAAAAAGGGACTGCGGCTCTGAACAACCCCCAGCATGGCTTACTTGGGCATGCTGGGAACTGTTGGCCTTTTTTTCTGTCTAACTATCCATACACTTGCACCCTAATGGACGACAATTTATAGAACAAATATGGTATGAGGCATTTGACGCAAGCATGATGTAGCTTGTCAAAACAGAGTTTCCACTCTTGGCTTTGCCAATCTGAGTTGCAGTGGTTCCATGTATCAGCATTTTAATCCTTCCCAATGTTAAAATCAATGATGTCCCAAAATGGTTTGCTGCTTGTCTAGTATATAATGAAGAGGCAAAACATTAAGGATCCCAAGTCTGTAGCCCTTTCGTGTACAAGCTACATCACTGTACTACAGGCCGGCCAGGACTTTAGACATGAAAAATAATCAGGCCATTGTCTATTTCAGAGGCCCTTTCAACATGCTCCACATTTGATTATCTAAGTGCTTTCAGGATCAGTAGAAAGAGAATTCAAAGAGCCAGTAAGGCATTAGAGACTAGTCATTAACCTAGAGCAAGAATGAAGAACTTACTGAAAGTCAAATATATTTTTTACAGCAATATAAAAAGCACATTGGACAACATATGAGAACATATTTACTTCATAAATGAATCTTGTTGGCTTATGCAATTGCCCACAAAAAGAATTTAAAAGATCCTTTCCCAAACACCACATTTCACTGCCACGATGCCTTCCCGGATGACACAAACTCCAGAGTAGAAAGGGGCGACATGTAGGAGAGGCAGAAAGAGAGTGCGTGACTGCGAGTGAGCACGTGCCTTGCAACACGATATCCATGCAGGGACGTGGTAAGTGCATTCAAACAATGCATATAATGTGCAATGCATTCAGGCCCAGGTCACGTGGCTGATTATCAGGTTGCAGGTGTGATGTGCAAACTCTACATACATAAGCAAGATGAGAGACTGAAGAAGGGAAAGCAGAATCTCTCCCTCTCCCTCTCCCACACACAATGTCTGCACTGTGAACACACACAGATATATTTATATATTTACATTTCTACATGCCTCTCTCTTTTGTGTTAAGTACTCCCTTCCTTATAGTACAGCTGATGGTGGAATCATCCATGTTTAAGTTTGTCAAGTCTTAGCAGCAAAGCTGTCTCTGTATCTACACAATTAAGCACGGGTGCTCGTCCTTGGGGATGACCGGTCAGCAGTTTTGCTACAAGGAGACTGAAGTCAACATGAGCCCAAACACCTCCAGGGGTCAGCCACACTCTAAAACCAGTATCACCACTTCTTTGCCCAGTTTACATGCTTCCCTCCCCATCTGCGATCAGTACTAACTGTATTCAGACTAACCTCATACAATTCTCTCACCTGCTGTTAACTACAAGGTGCTTATGCCAGCAAGTGGAGCTCCTAGAAAGGGTGAATGGAAGATGCTTACCTTTAGGGAGTCCACCAAGTCATCCACTAGGAAGAGACGCCTGAGCTCCTTCACGGTACTGTTGATGCGGCCAAGCACAACGTGGCTGTATTTTTGGACCAGCTCTTCAGACACAGCAACATCTTTGTCCAAGTAATCCCTGGAAGGAAAGAGTGCCGCCTGTGAGACAGTGCTTGGCACCCAGAGCTTTTCAAGTCCTCCAGTCTCTCCACTGGAGCACAATGGAAACAACAGGTCAGGCTGCAATGCCCAAGAATCACACAAACCAACAAGGACTAAGCTCAAAATTTCCTCTAAATTATTCATAGCAGTGAAGCTGCAGCATTTAAAAGCTCCGTATTTTCTCTTTCAAAGAACCAGAACGATACATTAATTAAACTGCACTTAAAAGCTAGAAACAAAGATCGAGCAATGGAACCTGACTAGTAAAGGGTAAACAAGTCTGTGCCTTTCACACTTTAAAATAAAGACCTGGCAACTGAAAGAACGTGTCTTTTTGACCAGACACAATTAAAGAAAAGGTTCCACCCAGCCAAAGGCAGGTTCTTCCGAAACAGAATACGTGGTTCTCATGCTCTTGTTATCTGTTATTATGCGTCACTAAGTTTAGCTAATTGAGCAAATCCATGTCCTACAATATTAGCAGTCTTCAAACTTTCATTCTTTTCATTGTTGCTAGCTGCCTGGAGAGCTTCAGTTGTGGGGCAGAAATAAAATATTATTTCTCTGACCACTTAACAAATCCCACCCAAATATGGCCCATGGTGGGAGATGATGTACAATATGCACGCAGGGGCCCAGCTAGCAGTGCCAAATATGACTCATGCTCCCAGATCTTATGAAAATGCAGCCCCTTCTTGTTTCTACAGATAAAATAGTAGACATTTAGCATTTTTAGATTTTCCAGTCTAAATCTAGTATTAGTTTTTTAAGGAAAAGAAAATATATACTTCTTCCCAACTGTAGTCTATGAGCTATTGAAAGTGTTTGGGCTTTTTAAAAGGCTGTCTTTCAATTTGCAGCATTATGACAGTAACAAATATTTTTAGATATTCATGAAAAAAAGAAAAGAACCATCAACAGTCTTTTCCCCCCCTTAAACTGTGGAATTCTGCACAGGGATCCGAAAAGGTATGCAGTGCATGGCACACAGCATTCTTTATGAGAAAAGCAGTGCCCAGAAAAGGTTTGCTCCCCAATGGATTAGACTGAATGGTTCGAAGTGATGCAATCCAGGTGCTGTCACCTTTTATCGCGTAAAGGAAAACGGTGCGGGGGCTTTCAGGATTCTAGACACTCTCACCCTAAAGGGCTCACTGCCTGGAGGCCAGAGGAGGAGGAGAGGCAACTCTGTGCGCTCATCATCAGGACACACTGGATTCCAACAGAACTGAGAGAGCATGGATAAAGTAGCACACAGGCTGGCCTATCCTGGGCAGCATCCTGCACATATTTGACAATACGGACCCAATAAATCATTTGTCAGCCAATTTGCTTGTAAGTCCATCACTGGAGCACATCATACCTATACGGCAAGGGTGCCCAAAGCGAGACTTGCGGGCCACATGCAGTTTTGAGCTTATTTTTCTGCTTGGAGGGGGACCAAAGGAGCTCAAAGCAATTTCCTCGTCCAAGTGGCTGAGCCAGTACAAACAAAAGCAGGGAACAAGGTGTGAGTCTCCTGTTGTGATAACCAGTTGTGGTGCTTCTATCATGTGACTTCAGTTCTGACCCTCAACCAATCAAGGCTCATCCTGCAGCTGAGCCAGCGAGCACAGGACTCCCCCAGGGAAAAAATGCACAAATCTCCTGCCATGAGGACCAGTCACAGCAGCGCTTTGAGCATCTCACTTCTGCACCATCTGCAAGGCCTCTGCTAGCAGTAACCAGCCCGCTATTTGTAGCAAAGTCTGTTTGGTCATCATACATGCATAGTTGTTCTTGTCTTGCAGCTCTCAAATACCTGACATTTACTGCATGTGGGCTCTTCTGTTGCCACTCCCGCAATATGGTATCAACTAAATCGCCTTTGCAACTGCCAGGAGACACGATTCAAGGTACTGGCAGGTTGTCTTTCCCCAGGATGAGCCAGACTGCTCTTTTAGGCCATCAGCTGAGGCCCAGTTTTGCATCACCACAACTTCAGAGGTTAGGCGAGTATGAGATAGGATGGGGCCCTTTCAGGCATCACTGAAATCTTTGGCAATACGTAGTTATGTGACCTGACTGCTCCAAGACACCCATTAGTTAGAGCTATACTCTATCAGCCTGAACAGTTGTCTGCCCAGGGTTCTGTAGAACAGCAGGCAAACCCCAAACCTACATAAAGTCTGCAAGAAGGATACGAGCAAGACCACAGTCTTCCACTCGTGTTCTCCAGCAATCCAGGGCAACTTTAACATTTAAAAACTAGTAATAGAACTCAAACACTGAACCAATGAAACCTTTCACAACAAGCAGCGCGCCACATGCATCATACATGAATAAAACCTCCCAGGTCTCTACTAAACTATTCAATGGCATAACCCAGCACTTAGCAAGACTGAGAAGAGGAAGATGGGTTAAAAAAACCTCAAGAAGTAGTAAAGAAAGGGAGAGAAGAGAGAAAGAGGAGGAGAATGTGGGTAGTTCACAGAGGAGACCAATACAGAGCAGAGGAAAAATACTGAGATGCTCCAAACAGAGAAGAGGTTGAGTTATGCAAGAAGTGGTTTATGCTACAAGCCCCCTTTCAATGAAACCCCCCTTCACTGTAAGCAGCCGAGATGTTTGTAGGGGATGGGATAGAAAAGCTTGAGAGAGAGAGAGGGAGAGAGAGAGGGAGGGAGAGCGCGCGTGCGCTCAGGGTCAGGATTAGGGTTAGGGCGGACTTTGCTATGCCAGTAGTTCTCCACCACAACCACCCTGCCTTGCACAGCTATTGTTGGGGTTAGAGAAACTACATGTATATTTTAAGGAAGCAAGGCCATGGCTACTGACTAAGCTTAGTTGTGCTGCAGCAAGCCCCACTGAAATGAGACCTACTTTCGAGAAAACATATCCAAATGTTTTGACTTTGTCAGAAACAAGCAACTGCTTGCAATTCAATAGCATTCCATTTTTGCTTGCTCATAATGACTGAACGAAAATGGAATAATTGTAGATCGTGACACAATTAACTTCCCTCATACCATTCAGGCATGAGAAGATACTCATTCAACTGTGCATCACCACTAACTGAAGACAAAAGGGATACACCAGAAGCCACATATATCAAGCCAGACAACTAGAATTTGGGATATACTGTTAGACCCAACAGAATCACATATGCAGGAGGAAAAAACGCTTTCTGATGAACAGATAAACACAAAAACTAATCCTCCTTTGCTAAGCAGAAGCTTGCAAACTTGGATGGGTGAAGCAACGCAGTACAGACCAATGTGCACTGGCAGTACGAGGCAGGCGATGCTCACCTGGAAGTGCTTCTTGCAGAAGCCGACACTGTTCCACGCACTCCACGCATGCACAGCTTCTGAAGCTGGCCCATCACCATGGCCCTTTTCATCTCCACCCCAACCACCAACCCATGGTGGCCACATGCATGCATGCATTTCAGGTTCGTGTGGCTCACTCATCCAAGTACTACTCAACCACACCAGTGCCCCACTGTGAGGCCTTGCAGAGGCAGAGCACTCCAAATTCTGGTTCAGTTTCATCTTCAACCATGCCCCTGTTTGTCCTATTAAATCTAATGAAACACGAGGCCAAATGAAGACTGGGGACAAAATGAGGGCCAAAGAGAGGCACCCTGCCTTTTAAATATGAAAGTACAGGTAGTCCCTGGGTTACAAATGAATTCAGTTCCTGAGAAAATGGAAATTTGTCATCAAGTTGAATTTGTATCCAAGTCAGATCACATATAGTTGGCTCTCCACAAAGGACCCCATGAAAGTGGTAAAACCATGAATATCTCTAGTCCCATCCTCTGCCCAAACTCACCAGTGCTTCCTGTTTATGGCAAGGAAATACCGGAGAGATTACCCCTCTCTGGATAGGTGGGGCAGGAAGGCATGATTTGCCCCCCCGCTTCACTTCTTCTTTCTCTCTCTCTGGTGATGCTTTGGAGGCCCCCTCTACCCTTTTGCTACCCCTCTCTCTCTGGTGATGACAATTTTCCACAGTATTTTTTAATTAATAGGCTTTATGGCAATTTGTTTATAAATACAAGTTGTCAGTAACTCAGGCATTTGTAACTGAAGGACTGCCTGCATTTGAAAAACAGAACACACGCTACCTCACGCTCTCCCCCCGAGGCAACAGACAGTATTTGAAAGGAGAAGAAAAGCCCCATATACTCACCTAAAAGGGTGGCCTTCATCAGACTTCTGGATTGCCTGGATAACTCCTTTGTATATCCTAAAACTGATGGTCACTGACAGGAGGGCCAAGGCAATATACGCAACCACACTCACGATACTGAACACCGTTAAAGAAAGTAGCAGGAACAAGCTTGCTCCAAACACCACGCCTGTCTTCTTAATGTCTCGCCAGTACAGAAGGTCAACCACTAGAGAGATTTAGAAGAAAGGAGATTAGAAGGCAGCATCTCCAGGACGAGCGCAGAAGACTAAAATCCCACTTTCCTAGTCAAATGTATGATGGCAATGATGGGAATGGAAATGCTAATACTGCACGTGCACAGATAACACATGTGCATGCTTGGGCATTTCTCATGCACAGAAAGTAAAAAGACACTACTTTAAGAAAAATGTAGGGTACATACAGTCCATGATACCCCAATGACTACAGCAACCTGCTTTGCCATGAAATCAGTGTGACTGTGCCAGGCTTGGTTTTTTTGTATATTGGAGTAATAAAAAATCAGCTGAGCAGGTAAACCTCAGTGTCCCCATGGGGCTTTGATACACCCCAGGAGTATAACTGTTCACTCACCTATACCCTAGGAAGGAAAAGTTTTCCCCCTGGGAATTGCAGGGTGGTGCAGTATGGTGCCACCTCTCCTTATGGTTAAGGGAAGGCAGTGGTGGATAGTAGTCACTGTTCTGGTCCTTTTGACCTGAAGCTTCTGGACAAGTAGAATAAGCACTGCCAGTGTATGTCAAAATACCACTAGGTCTCCTTTTCCCATACTAGCCCAAGAAGCCTCTATTAAGGCCGAAGTACCATTAACCCAACTTCCAAAAGTTTTTATCTAGTATGAGCAGATGACAGTACATTAGTGACCACAGCATCGGACAAAGCATACTATAGGATTAGAACACAAAATTTGTACATGGTAAAAGCGAGGTAAAAATGCACACATACCAAACAACGAAGCTCACTGGGAAGGATCGATAGAGCTTTGGGCCAGGGAAGATTGCAATTTAAATCTCACTCAACACATGGCCTTCTCTAACTAACATACCTCTAAGGAGGCTGCTGAAGGGCTAACAGCCAATTTTGCATTCCTGATAAGAAGGGTAAGCCACTTTTTTCTTTAACAAAAAAATTATTTAACCCAGATCAAGTCTGCTTCACACTACATTTCTACTTCATCTTTATCTTCCAAGGCAATAGATCATCACAGTGATTAACAAACCAAGAACATACAACCAAAATGCAGGAATATGAAATTCAACACCAATTCAACAGTAGTGTAGCAGCAACAGCAATTATGTTTTGATCATTTTGTAATTAAGCAAAAAATATTAACAGTGTTTCAATAACTACTGAGTATAGTCAAGAACAACACAACATATTCAAGCCATTTCAAGATGTAGACATTGATATTCATCAATATTCAGGAAACAGTCTCAATTCTCATTGTAACATTTTGTCACAATGAATGCACTTGGCTATATCTTGTTGTTTTTTAAATATTGCATCTCACCATTGTCTTAGGCAGTTCACAATTAGAAACAAGAATACCCCCTGCTCTGCCAGCATAGCTAGAAAAAGAAAATCATGACAGCAAATAAAAGTGCGAAAATAAATACAAATAGGAATTAATGGCATAAACAGTGATCAGCTTGCAAGTGTTTCAGAACCTTTTCAAAAAGAGCCTTCTCTTGTCAGATGGTTCTGTTATCAGTCATATTTTGGCAGAGTGGGAAAATGCATCCCTAATAAACAGAAGGGACCTTTCCCCTGTAGATGCATGCAGCAAACCTCTGCATGGAAGGACTGGAACTCAAGAAAGAGCCAGAGAGAACCATTTCCAGACAGAGCTGGCTCTCATGTTTTTGAAGAAACACATGGAAAGAAGCATAAATGCTTTCAGACTTCATCAAGCAGATTCCACTGAGAAATGTAAGTAAATCTGTTGGTTTCCTTCATTCTTAAAGCTTAAATCACAGAACCACAATGCAGGCCAAGAAATGTGTGTCCTTATGTGAGTAGTTAAACCTGGGTGTGTATTTATTTAACCCAAGACCAACAATCACAAACTATTTTCCAATTAATGAATGACATAATGTTTGATTAATAGAATACACATTCCAACAGCTTGCAGGGAAAGGCCTTGCACTACACATTTTCAAGTACAAGCTAAAAGCTGCAGGAAAAGGCATATTCTAAAAAGCACATACTAAGAGGTAAATGTATTTAAAGTTTAAACCAAGACGAAAAAATCACGTCTGTCCTCCAGAAGAACAAAATAGTGCAGGCCCACTCTGAAGCAATGCTGCTGTTACTTTTGGTAAGCAAGGACGGACAGCTTGGCATACCTAAAAATAGCACACCCAGCATCGTGCCTTCCATACACAGCTCATCCAATTACAATTTTCCTTTGCTTTTAAAGCAAGTGCCTTGATAAGACAAACTCTGAAATCTTCTTCCCATTAAGCACTTAAAAAAAGACACTGCAGTTTCCACGGCAGCTACTGTACTAAACATTTTCCCCCGCAGTAGAACAAAAATCAGCGAGAGTACTACAAAAAATCATAATGTTAGGAGCACAAAGATAAAAACAACAGATGCTTCAGAGCTGAAGGGTTCGCAGCACACAAGTCTGAACACCACACACACACACACACACACACTTACCACTCTTGGCATCCATCTTGCCTGTGTTGCTCGCATGCACTTGGAACTTGCTCCGCTCACTAGCGAGCCTTTTCAACTTCCTGCTAGGACACCCAAAGGTCACTTGACACACGCCACAGCCCACTGCCTCACCAACAAACGGCTAAGAAACCCTCAGACGACCACGGCATACTTTGAGCCATCATCCAATAGCTGTTTCCTCTGTTAATTCCTTGGAACGCAGCACATATGTTCGGCACTATATATCACTGCTACATTTAGATTTTAGGGTGGGAAAGGGGGGAAAAACCACAGCCTGCACTGCATTTAGGCAAAGTGACTAAATAAAACTGGATTTGAGGAGAATAAAACATACAACTGCCCATATACTCTCCCCGCTTCATTATCTAAATGGTGCTGAAGAGGTGGAAACATTTTATTTGAAATTACAGCAGCTTATCTGGATGAGTTCCAAAACTGCATTATGACGGGAATCTCTCAAGAAATCCAAAACATTCTGCAGCTTTTAAACAAGCATCACTAGCTTTGGAACATGCAAGAAGGAAATGTGGTGGGGCTTTTTTTCTTTTTGTTTATTTACAGATCCCCGTGAAAGCTATGGAGCTGGCCAACATGTTTCTCTGCTCCAGAAAATCTGACAAACTGAAGAATACAGAAAATCTCTGACTAGATTTCTAAAAATCGGAAGAAATCAAGGGTGTAGGCACACGTTTACTTTTTTGTTCAACCTACATTTTTTTAACCTTGAATCACCACAACCCAAGTTGGAAAAAGATATGAGAAGGAGGCCTGAGGGCATATGCCTGTACCCCCTGTAGCGACAGACGGAAAATGACAATATGCCATTTCGTGAGCAGGATTTTACCACTGCAAACTGCAGGTGCAAACTCACATGACTGGAAGCTCTCCTCCTTAAAAATAAATAAATAAACAAGCCTCCATACAGAAAAGCTGGCAAGTCACAGAGAGAATGCTAGCTTTGGAAGGAGAAACTTTTTTCTTAACGTTCTAGCCTTCTATGCGGAGGGATTTCTTTCAGATCACGAGCTCCCACCTGCAGAGTAAAGTGGTACATCTCAGACCTGTGTTTTCCACTTCAGTGAGGAGCAGGTCAAAGCCATTAATCAACGTGGGTTTTGAGAAAGAAGCAACAAAAATAGAGAAAGGAGTGCTGGATTTCAGACTGGGGAGGGGCTTAAATGCCTCCTCTGCCATGACACTTACTGGACAACATGGACCAGTTGCAATCTCTAAATCTATATTATGTCACATGATTACTGTGAATTGAGTTGTGGGGAAACCTCCTGAACTTTTCAGAGGAACAGGATACACAAGTACATCCCTCCATTATTCACTCATATACTGTCTCCCCAAAAGAGTATCAGAATAATGGCTAAAACTTGATCACACAATGCTCCACTCACTAAATTATTCACATTACATAATGAAAAACAGCTTAATTTATTTCGTCTCCCCACTCCAAAACCCCCAAAATTAGCAACTTATATATTGGAATACATCAAGGTGCCACAAAATCTTGTAATTAGGATTTTCAAACATTTCTTCCTATTATTGTTATTGTTGTTATTAATACATTTCTATATTGCCCATAGCAGAATTTCTCTGGTGAATTCACAATATCAGTCACCCATCCAGGTTTGAACCAGACCTGATCCTGCTTAGCTTCCAAGAATAAGCAGGATGGGGCACTTCAGGCTATATGGAAGCTTGTGGTGTCTATTCCAAAACAAGTTTTGGGAAAGTTAAGATTCACCCTGTTGGATCAGGCAAGCTGTGTGTGTTCAAGAGTCAGCAAAGATATGCCAAAGCACAAGTGGGGGAAATCATGACCTTTCTGATGTTTGGGCTTAGAATTCCCATTATCCTTTACCACTATCTTTCTCCCTCCCCCATAACTGCAAGCCCCTCTCTTCAACTAACCGTCTCCCATCTGGGGCTCCACTTCCAAAAGTGATCAAGGATGAGGGAAAGGCTCTTGGAAAAGCAAGCAATGAAAGGAGGAAGTGAATTGCGTGTTGAGGTTCCCACACATCTCTTTTGCATTTACAGCTGGACCACAAAATCAATTGTGTTATAATCTTACTGGCCAGCTGGACTTGAGCCACTGATGCTACATCCCTAAAACTATCTGTAAAAGTCCCACATAACTGTGTGTTCCTCATAACTGGACTTTTTCCATTTTCTTTTCCAGGAGTTGATGGTAGAAGCAACATTACTTGTTTCTATCACTGCAAACTCCTTAGTTGTAAGACGGTAGACTCCTAACTATTATATGCCAGAAATAAACCAGGGGATGGAAATGTATGTGAGCCTTCCCAAAACATCTGCCTATTGGTAGGCCTGCCAGACTAGAATGGTCTGCCTGCCAGACTAAAAAAACACAGTTTTGACTCAGCACAGCAGTTTCTATTCCAGCAACTGGTAGCAGGTCTTTTTAGCCAGGGTTCTTGCACAGCTGCAGAGACAAATGTAAACATAATGGTGTTCAGAAAAAAATAAATC